TACTTTGTGCTTTGTAATATGGAATGAATTTAATAATTTTGTCACTCATATGTCATATCACTAAATAATTCATAGCTTGGTGACTATGTTGAACACATCAATCCCATTGAACTTAAAATCTAGACTTCAACAGATACAGTTAAGTCTGTCTCATATCTTGACTTATAATCAGAAATCGACGACGTAGGTCAGTTGAGAACCAAATTTTGTGACAAAAGAGATTTCAGCTCTCAAATTGTGCAACAATCCAGCAGCGCCTGCATATGGAGTATATATCTCCTAGTTGATACAATATTCGAGAGCTTGCATTTCTTTTCATTATATCATTGATAGATGGTTGCTATTCAATAGGAAGCTACTAAACCAAGGGTTCGAAGTGATGAAGTTAAAAGTATACAGACGCCATGACAAGTTGGTTGGCTGTTATGGAATATCTGTTTAACAGACGATGGAAATGCTCCAATTTTAGTAACCACAATTCTGTCCTCGAATGTGACATCAACGAATTAGACTTATCAGCGAGGTTATACTTACATGACAACATGAAGGGTGACACATGCTTCAGGAGCATATGTGATCACACTTCGATTTTGGTAGGGTTCGTGTTTCTCATGACACATCATTACATGTCATGATGGCATTCCACTAGACTAGAGGACAGACAGTCAGCAGTCTACATAGGATACAACAGAACATGGCCTTGCAAAGGTTAGTGAACAGAGTCAGCAGTCTAGACTTGAAACACTATGGAATGGCCTTGTGATAGGATGGTTGACAGTCAGCAGTCTAGACTTGGTACACCATGATATGGCCTTGTGATAGGATGGTTGAGTCAGCAGTCTAGACTTGGTACACCATGATATGGCTTTGTGATAGGATGGTTGACAGTCAGCAGTCTAGACTTGGAACACCATGCTATGGCCTTGTGATAGGATGGTTGACAGTCAGCAGTCTAGCCATGGTACACCATGATATGGCCTTGTGATAGGATGGTTGACAGTCAGCAGTGGCCTTGTGATAGGATGGTTGACAGTCAGCAGTCTAGACTAGGAACACCATGATACGGCCTTGTGATAGGATGGTTGACAGTCAGCAGTCTAGACTTGGAACACCATGATATGGCCTTGTGATAGGATGGTTGACAGTCAGCAGTCTAGACTAGGAACACCATGATATGGCCTTGTGATAGGATGGTTGACAGTCAGCAGTCTAGACTTGGAACACCATGATATGGCCTTGTGATAGGATGGTTGACAGTCAGCAGTCTAGACTAGGAACACCATGATATGGCCTTGTGATAGGATGGTTGACAGTCAGCAGTCTAGACTTGGTACACCATGATATGGCCTTGTGATAGGATGGTTGACAGTCAGCAGTCTAGACTTGGAACACCATGCTATGGCCTTGTGATAGGATGGTTGACAGTCAGCAGTCTAGACTTGGAACACCATGATATGGCCTTGTGATAGGATGGTTGACAGTCAGCAGTCTAGACTTGGAACACCATGATATGGCCTTGTGATAGGACGGTTGACAGTCAGAACCCTCAAAGGGAACATAAGAACATGGCCTTGCAATAGGCTAGTGCACAAACATTCAGCCGTCTAACTAAAGTATCCCGTAACATAACCTTGCAATAGGCTAGTGGACAGAGTAATCATTCTACCCAGGGTACACCAATACATTGCTTTGCAAAAAGCTAGTCGACTGGCAGTCAAAAGTCAGCCCATAAAACCACAGAAAATGACATGGTAAAAGAATAGGAGACAGACAGAATAAGGAGTTCACCCTTTCCTGACATGACTTGAACAGATTATTCTACTATGTAACCCATGAAACAGGTTGATTGATAATCAGATGCTCCTCCTAGATTAGCATTATAATATTTTGGTATCTTTGATATCTTCCGTCTCTTTTTCTATTTATAAGCTAGTTAATAGACGGTCAAAGAACTAAACACAGAGCATTATACCACATCCTGGTAAAAAACTAGTAAATGAATAATCAAAACTGTTAGGAAGTGGTGACAGAGAAGCTGATCGACACAGGGAGCAACAGAATATGACAGGCTAATAGACTATAGATATAAGTCTAGAAAGGGTGTAAATGAATATGGTCTGGTAATAGGATCAATGACAGTAAGCCAGAAGTCTATTTAATGTTCCATTTCAGAACAGTATAATTTTTTTATCATATTCTGTTTATCATACCATAAAGCTTAATAAAGAATTCTGAACACATCAAATCAAAAATTAAACTTTATCCAATCAAGAGGTTCTTATTTTCCTCTAGTACTCACCTTGGTTTTCCCCTTTTTGTCTACTTACTTTCAATAATAGGTGATTATTATGTTTAATGATTGCATTGTCTGTAAATCAACATAATATAATTAAACATGACTAATGTTTGATTTCTATATCACAAATTGATTCCTTTGGGGTTTCTTTGTTAGCTTTAACGATGTAAATTGCTTTCTAGTGTTCGTAGGTCAAAAAGTTATAGCATAAGGTTATAAATCATTTCATAACTGGATATTAAACTCTATAAAATAAGCAAATAGGTCAATAACTTCTATGAGGAGTCAATTGACGATTTTCAATCAAATTGACTTATTTGTAAATCTTTTAATGCCGATATATTTAATTCCCTAACTCTAGGAGTCATCAAACACCCTGGATCAGCATAAGGAGATAATTTAGTTCTAAGCTAGTTGACAGAAGGCCAAAGGACTAACTTATGAGCATCAAAACACATCCAGGTAAAAGAGTTGTTGACAGATGGTCAAAACTGAACTTGGGGAGCATAACCCAATCAGGCAAAGCCTTTCAATAGACTATTTTACATAGAAAGTTAGAAGTCAAACAAGGAGTAGCAAAAATATCAAAGAAACAGGCTAAATTTGTTAACAATCAGGAAGAATAACATTGCTATTATTATGTTAGTTAACAGAGAGAGAGACCAAGACAGCCTTAGAACAGGACCTGGTAATATGATAGTTAACAATTACATATATACTTAAGGAGCATCAAAACATTGCCCAACAAAAGAATACTTTTCAGACAGTCAGAAGAAAACCCAGAATGCATCAGCAAAAAGTCTGGTAATAGAATAGCTGACAGGCAGAAGTCTTCCAAGGGAGCAACAGAATACTTTTAGTTAAAAGACTATGTGATGGCTATAGATATGTCCACTAAGGGAAAATAAAAATATTGCTTGGTAAGAGGTTTATTACCTTACATATACAGACATGTTCTCAGGAAGCAATGCAATGCTGTCTGGTAGTAGGCTAGTTCATAGACAGTATCAGAGGTATACATACAGGGGCTTTAGAAATAACCTGGTAATGACCTAACTAATAAACAGTAAGAAGAAGCTTATTTGACAGAAAGACAGAAGCATAAACAGTATACATCATAATGCATTGTAAAAAATAAAACAAATCTTTATAAATTTCATGAGTCCAAAGCACTTTCTGGATTTACCTTCATCAGGAACGCCAACAGCTGAATATTGAAAGCCAAGGATGTATTAGAACTGAAACAGTTGAAGAGCAATATGACCAAGGCTATAAATCCTAAATGATGTGATTAATATTCCAACACTTGTTTCTCACTAAACCTTCACCAGGTACACAACAACACTTGTTTCTCATTAAACATTCACCAGCTACACTCATGACCAAGAGTTTGGAAGCCAAAAATGTTTGAGAGCATTAAAACCAAAAAGTCTTTAACAGAACAGTCAAAACCATGTCAGATCAACTTTGACAATTGTTGTTGAAACGTTAGTTTAAGCACAATGATATAATTTCATTAACTGTAAATGTATTATTAAAATCATGCTTATTGAAGCAATTACTACTGAACTGATGGTACCCTCAAAGACTAGTATTTCACCATCAGCTGTAATAAACAAATGGTAGGGAAAAAAAACAAATGATATAATTTCAATGCACAGAACATGTGTCTGGAATAACCTAAATATAACTTCTATATGCCAAAGATATAAAACATTTGAGAGCATTAAAAACAAAAGGGTCTTATTGGCACATAGCCAGAAGTCTATTCACTTTGAAACTTTGCTATTTAGTAAAATAAGTTAGCATTATATAAAATTCTCTTCTCATACTGCTGGAAACTTAAATTTGAAGCTTAACATTACTCATCTTACTGTCTTCTTACCTTTATACCATGTGGGTTGCTCTCATAAATGAGTCAATATCTTAATATTAAACTGATAAAGAAAATAGTACTAAAAAAATATGTCCTACATACACGTTAAAATGATTAATTAAATCATAATTATGTCTCCAGCTGATGGGAGTTTCTCATATTCAGTTTCTAAAAATTATTAACTACTAATACCCTGGAAGGAAGAGTATCACATGGTAATAAACTGAATGGCTACCATGGGTTGTCCTTATTTTTATAATATTCAACATTGTGGAAGGGTATTAAAGTTTCACTGATTAATGAAAAAAAAATATGTTTTACTCTTTACTAAATGTTGATTATTTTAATCCTGTGTATGTATATTCCTAGATAAATTTTACCTTTTAACCTTGTGTAAAATATCCAGATTTTTGGAAAAAGTTAATCAAATCTCTGTAATTCATTGCAATTTATTATCTGACTTTTCAGCTATTAAGGAAAGTATGATTATCATTTACACTGAAATTTTCAGTCCAAATAATCTAAAACAAACTCCTAAAACCTAAAATACCATTGCATTATGGAATTATAAGAAGTAATGTGAGTATATCTTTCACCAATAAATTTTAAAAGTATGTGAACTTAAATAATGCCTATTGAACTTTCAACTTAAAAATAAGATTAAAGCAAAACAACAATATATTTTTTGTCCAAATAAGACAACAATGGACCAACATAAAAAGCATAGAACAAGCTAAATTAAGATATGTGATAATTACAGCAAGTTGATTCCAAGTATGTAATGATCTCTGTACGTAATTTTATATCATATTGTTTGTATTTTCTTACCTAGGATTATCTTCTGTTACATTGGCCTTGATGAATGCAAGAAGATGGTCTAAGAAGTTCAAGGAAACATTTGGTTTCCATGGATCTCTCAATCCCTGTATAAAAAGTATAAATATCACTGAACTCCTCTAATTAATACACTCTTGTCATCAAAATCAAATCCCCCCAACCCCTCCTAACTGACAATAAATATTACCAATGCATGTATTCAGCTCTTCATACCAGTAATAAAGAATAACTCTACCTGTAATAGCTTATTAGATATGAGGCATACATTTTTTCATGTAACTGGATTAAGATGCTTCTCAGTTCAGTTCAGCATTTTGAAAGGTTGCGAGGGAGTGGAATATCCCTATACTTAATTGGTATGCTGTGGTGGGATATTCTAATGAAATATATGTCACCACTTCTGACTCAGTCTGTACTCAGTTCTAAGAGTGCAAGCCAGAATCACTTGAAACAATGTTGTACAAAATATAATGCTTTGGTGGCTTGATTATTAATGCAAATAATGTGACTCGGTGAATATTCCAATAACAAGAAATCGTATTCTGATATCTGATACATATATTTGTATGCAGATTTTCCTGAAACTTGCATTTTTGTCTATTCTCCAAAATTCGCAATAATTTCTGAATTTACAGTAGGTCATTCTTTCCTCCTAAAGTTCTTACCTGTAACTGATTAGGTATATCCAGTGTATTGATTGTTTCAAGTCTGTGAACGATGCCATTGTCATCTCTGTAACCACACACTATTTTAGGTATACCAACCAGGTAACTCTGCGCCCACCATTTTATCAACTTAAACCTGGAAAATAAGTTTTAAAAAACTTACAACAATCGAAGCAGAAGAAATTGCTAATTTAAATTTAAAATGCAACATGAAGGAGTTATTAACAGTGCCTACAAGTTCCAAAGTTGCATATTCAGCATTTCACAAATCAGCAACTCTTTTCACAAAAAAATCTTACAATTAAAGTTGATCAATAGTAAGTAGTACTGAAATCTTCATGACTTACAAGTAATTTTTCTAGTAAGATTTTTTGTGAAATTAATCGAGGAGTTCTTTAACAAGTACAGCAAAGTTTTTTTTAACATAAAAAAAATCATTTTAAGGCTGCAAGTACCCAGTACTTTTCATCTTAATAATTTTGTGCAAAATCAATTTTCAGTGCATGCCTAGTAATGGCTGGATATCTACTGAAATGCTTACTGGGTACCTTATATACTTAAATGTAATATGCAATGTCCATTGCTTGAGTTTTATCTTTTTTTGTGAGCATATGTATCAAAATTTGAATTTTTTGAAGGATTATTTTTTTTCTCCAAATTTTCTTGCTAAATTTTAATGTACAGAACTTTGTTATTTTGTACACCTTTTGTCTAATCTAACTCATATTTCATCCATTACTTTCTTATCATATGAAAGGACCTTTACTTGGCAAGCTCACATACACCATGCCCCTGGATATGAAGGGGAAAAACTTAATAGTGACCTGATGGTATAGTTTTTTTCTGTTTACTTTGGACAATAATAGTGTCCTACATAAATCTATTTTTAGTAACTATGACCTTGACCTTTGGGGTTATTGACCTCAAAATCAACAGGAACCTTCCTTTCATTATAATGCCAATGTTTAATCGTGATCGATTGTATCATATATATCATGTATTGTGCCATAGTTGATCAACTCAATCGATACTATTACTTCAATTCACTAGGGGCAAGATCGAATTCAATCAATACGATCATGCCACAGTTGATCGACTCAACCGATTCTATTACTTCAATTTACTAGGGGCACAATCGAATCAATCGTATTCAAAAGATACGATCGAGCTACAGTTGATGAACTCAATTCATTCTATAACTTTCTTGTTCCAAATGAAATAGAGTGTAATCGTTGAGTCGTTTTGAGAAGATTTGGATGAACTGAATATTCTTTCATATTATAATGAAAAGTTAATTGCATCAACAGCTGATGTTAATTTATTCTTCGATTGTTGATTGCTTTGATCGTGCCTTCCATATAAGTGAAGAGTTAAATAAATAGACAGCCGATGTTCAATAGTAACTTCTATATTAATTTCAATTCAATCAATTATTTTACTTCAATTTACTAGGGGCACGATTGTATCAATCGTTTTCAATCTATATGATCATGCCACAGTGGATCAACTCAATCGTTTCTATTGTTTTCTTGCTTGAAATGAAATAGAATGAGAAAGTTGAGTCGTTTTTTTTTCTGTTTCTGTACTGATTTGAAGAGTTGGATGAATTAAATAGCCTTTCATATTATATTGAAGAGTTAATTGCATCGGCAGCTGATGTCCATTTTTTTTCGATTGATATGATCATGCCTTCCATATTAGTGAAGAGTAGATTGAATGGACAGCCGATGTTCAATCATGACCGATCAGCTCAATTCCTAACGATCATGCCTTCCATATTAGTGCAGAGTTAATTGAATATTGATGTTTAATCATGATCGATCGTATCAATTGTAACGTTAGTGTCTTCCATATTATTTTGAAGAGTTGATTGAATTAACAGCCGATGTTGAATCGTGATTGATCTCATTTATCATTACGAGTGTGCCTTCCATATTATTTGAAGCGTTGATTGAATCGACAGCTGATGCTCAATTGTTATCAATTGGTTCTCCATTTTAATGAGTTGAGTTGATTGAATAGACAGCTAATATTCAATCGTAACAATCGAATCTCCTTCATCCTTTTGATGAGTTGATTGAATAGACAGCTAATATTCAATCGTAACGATCGTGTCTTCTTTATCTTTTTGATGGGTTAATTTCTTCAACAGTAGATATTCAATCGCTATCGATCGTGTTATTCCTGATAATTGGGAATTCTTTCAAATTTTGATGAATCGATGAGTTGATTGAATAGACAACAGGAGTTCAACTGTTGTCGATTCAAAGACCATACCTTAATGTTTGATTTAGCATTTGAAAAACACTTTTCTGCACAATAATTATAGTAAACTTTGACCTTGACTTTTGACATGTTGACCTCAAAATCACTAGAGAATTTACTCTCATCACAAGTGACCATATATTCAAGTAAGGTTGCAATTCAATATCATGTATTTAATTTAGCATCATGAAACACAAATGACTGACAGACAGGTCAAAATCTATATACCCATACTTCTTCATTGCATTGGTAAAATAAAAAGATATTCATACAGCACATGCTTTTAATCCAAGACTTTTGAATGTATTACATATTAATGAATATAAAGTTCAACTAAAATTTAACAGTTATAATATCTTTTTAGGTGCAGTTGTTGTACCTTTGAAAGTTTTGTCTTTGTCTATTGTATTCTATTTCTCTGTTTGTTTTGAATTCCACATATTTACAGCCTTCACAACCCGAGGTTGTATCCATGGCATCTACTTCCCCTGAGAAAACTGAAACAGGAACACAAAGAAAACATTGAAACAGATTAACAAATAACAATGTGTAAACAAACCCTGTTCAACCTGCATCTAAATTTCCTGTTGTTTTTTTTGTCTGAAAGTGATATTTCTTTTATCTTGTTTAAAGAAAATTTGATGTGAATACACTTAAATAATCTCATGACAAACATTTGTACAAAGAAAAAAAATCCTAGAGGGAGGAGGCTAATTTTGAAAGCTAGCATTTGTTTGTAATACTTGTAAACATCTTTTGTGAACTTTTATGTTATTTTTTGGATGTTTCCTTCATAATTTCTTTTATTCACATAGAACCAGTCCTGTCATCAAATTACAACCGATTCAAAGAAGAATAACTCTGTAACACTTATAACACCAAAAATATAACAAGAATGAATCATTTAAACAGTTAAACTAACTTTGTAACTGATGATAAAAACTTACAAAAAATTATACCAATTCAAGGGAAAAAATAATCTATAAATGGGAATCAAAATATAGGTTTTGCAATCTAAAAATAACCATATATGTTGGATAAGTCCTTTTTCATTTTTCAAAATTAAACTACAGTATCTAAAATACTGATTAAAACACAAAAATCATTGTTTGTGCTTAGCTTCCATGGGAATATAATGAAAAACTTGTTGGTCCAACAAGAACTTTCTATCCAATTTTAACCCATTGTCAAAGTCAATAACCATTAAAAAAAATATATAAAAATTTCAAACTTATGGAATGAAGAAATAAAATTAACAATTCTTTAAATAGGAATAATCAAAATACAGTACTTCCCGGTATATATTTGTTTGGCTTATTGACTAAGTGGTTAAGAAAAGTATAAAAATATGTCTAATTATGACGATTTTGATAAATATTTGCTCTTTTATATTCAATACAAGGATAACATTGTCACTTTTTTGTAACTAAATAATATTTTTGCAAATATTATTATGTTTTTCTTTTCATCACCCAAGAAAACATTTCATTTTCTTACCCTTTTCACCAGGCTCAGGTGAACTAAAGACTGTAATGTGTCACAGTCATGTTCTTATGGAATCTCATGAGAATTTCTTTCTGCAACTAAAATTATCCTTTTGACATTTTAAAAATTGCTGTCAGCTGGGGACAGGTTTTCCATATTTATCAGTTTTTAAATTTACATCATTACAAACAGCTCTCATCATTGTTGAGCTTTGGAGGACAATTGAAGAAAGTAAGTTTTGTAGCTGTAGGGGACGAATTGCATACTGGTATTTACATTTACATGATAAAGATATAATATTATTTGCAAGACACTGTAAACTTTCCCACATTAGGTATTTAACTGGGCATTTGGTAAACAAAGATAATTTGAATCAGAGCACACCAGGGGCATAATTCCCCTCAGGATGTGAACTCAAGGTACACCAAGGTAACTATATTAAACTGCTTGGTATTGCTATAATGGATTATATTTAAGAAAGAAGTTCAGGATAAAATAGCTATCTGCAATCAATCTTAAATCAATATTGTACATAATGTATACGTAACAGTACTAATTATTAAAGATACAGGTATAAAATATTTAAGTTTTTTTTTTTAATTTAACTTTTATATAATGCATAAAATCAAGGTCAAGGTCACACGATTGAGTGGACCTTTTAAGAGGTTGCATCAACTGACAAAATATCATTGCTCTATTATCTATAGTTCCTTAGATCTTGACCTTAATGAAAAACTTAACCAAAACCTTTCTGGCATAAAATAAAGGTCAAGGTTACCTTTTTTAATGTGGACCTTTGTCACCAAACATGGTGCACTAACTGACAAATTAAAAGATTCTTTCTCTAAAATTTGTAGTTCCTTAGTTCTGGATAATACACATTATACAGAAATATGGTGAACATTGTAATAAATGTTGAAAAATCTGTAGCTCTAAATTAACATAGAAATGTGAAGTGATTGTTTGCTGCTAGGAACATAGTAAAAAGACATGGTTCAAGACAGCCACATAATTTGTGTGCTGCATCTTGAAATGTCCCACCATGAGGATGATTCAAACCATGATCATAATAGCTATCTAAAGTGTCCTAAATTCAAAAGAACCTACAGATGTTCAAGTTAGTTTGATTTGAATTGGCTCTGTGATTCTGGAAGAGAATATTTTAGCTGAAAGTTTAATGAAGTCAAAAGTGCTTAAATTTGGTAATAATGTTTTACCTAAAGAATGTGACTCCAATCTACTTCTAACAACTGTAGAATATTCTTCATTGTTGTTAACAGGTTCTGTTGTAACTGGGGTGCCATCTGGTTTATCTGCAAAATAGATAATATTAACTTTAAGCAGACAATATCTAAATATTATATCAGAAATTATACATTGCGTAAATATCTATGAAAGCAAGAAATAAGTACTAACCTAACGCCAGTGGTGTAGACAGTTAAAACTATTTGTACAAAGCTTTATGCATGTATTTCAGAATGCAGAAAATCTAGATGCCTAATGCTTTGAAGATTCTGCTAAGCACATGCTAGATGTCCATGACCTTGAACTCCTTTTCATGTTCATTGATTTACATCAATATAAACAATTGTCAGCTAAGTTTTTTTCTATAGAATCATTGCCATAAGTATTTGTCCACTTGTAATGCATTGTTCCTTGATCAGCTTCTCAGCTACAATATATTAAAGATTCAGCTATATTGTATTCAGTCTACAAACTGTTGTCAGATGATTATCATTTCTTATAGTGTGGTTCATTGATATATATCTGAGTATATATATTTAAAATAATAATTTGATATATTTCCAACATGAATCATTATAACAATGTTATAAGGTTAATGTATACTTTTGACAAAGGTCATCTGAATTTTGAATTTTTTTTTTTCATGGTACTTATAACCTTGTAAATTGTTCCTAAGTAGTTATATGTAGTTTACTCATTGTCATATATTATGGTTAACACTTTTAAAACTGATGATATATTGTGCAGGTTCTACAGTCCTTAAATCTAGTAATACCTGCTGTGACATATTGTTCAAATTTCCATCCCCAACAACTCATTTCATCCTGTCTTTCTGTCATTTCTGCTTTATTTTTCTTCCTTTGTTCAGTCTCAAACTCACACATATATATTGTATTGTTATATTTGGTGATTGCTATCAACCAATCATCTCTGTTTTCATAAGGAGTACACAGCAACTTTGTTAACAGCCCTCTCCAGCATATAAAATCTGTATGTAAATCTCTGAAATAATAGTAGAAATGTACAGTTAGATAATTTATTTACATTTATTATAAACAGGAATGCACTTTGCAGTGCTGCTTTTTAAAACATGAAAAAATCTGCACTAAAAATATTAAAATTCAACAATGACAAGTCTGTATTAAAGTAAAAGATCCAAAATAATGTACAGCCACCAATATTAGATCAAAATTGACGTTACAACAAAAATAATGCATAATTAAGGTGTCATTAATTTGACATTTATAATGTTATGTGCCAAAAAGAGGTTATTTTTTATTAATATTAATATTGCAACTATTTCTTTGTGAAATTTGTAGTATTTTGGCATGAATCAAAATACATCAAAATCTTAGGACCACTTTCATGAACTTACTCCTTTGTATATGATTACGGAAAAAGTTTGAAGATAAATAAAACAAACATGGGAGCTCTTCAGGAAGTACCAACTCAGATTAAATTCTACTTTAAACTCGAAAGTATAGGAGGCTGTATAGGTATTTCATTTTAATTATTAAAGTTCATATGTAAATTATAAATGAACTGGTGTTGGAGTAGTTTTTAACAGAGCTCTGTCATTATATCATCTGTTTCCTGATTCATAATAAACAAGAATCCAAATTCTAATGTAATTATTTTGTATCAATGGTTTTGATTGGATGACAATAAGCATAAAATTCTCTATCTCCCTGTCTGTAACAAAGGAAGCCGACATTTTGAATTCTGGAATGTACTGACATGTAATTTCTCCAAATATACGCAAAAAAAAAATTTTGCACCTAGAAATCTTCTTTTTATCAAATTTTATTACATTTTGAGGTGGACAAGAAGCTAGAAACGCCCGGTGTTTACGTTTGACGCTGGAAGCATACCTATGACGTCACCTAGTTTAGGCGCCAAAGAAGATAACATCATTTCACGGAATTTTACAATGAAATAATGACTAAAATTGAATGATTTGTTTCTTTTGCATTAGAATAGAGATAACTGTATTGTATTTGAAGCTTTGCGGATGTCCATCGGTAGTTTTACTCTCGTAAATATCTGTTTACCTGTCTCCGCTAAGCGTTGCCAGGTAAACTCAATTTGCGACAGTAAAACTACCAATGGACGTCCGCAAAGCTTCAAATACAATACAGTTATCTCTTAATTGGCAATTTGTGCCAAATAACCATTTATGCACAAGCATTAAATTACACAGGATTCAGGACATTTGGACCTATTTAGCATTTGGGACTAGAAAAAGGAGTATTGTTACATGAACCTGTCAAGCTGAGGTACTGTAAATTGAATGGTTCCTAGGATTGATACTGATTTGGTTATAGTCCACACATTGTCAAAGAAATTTCACAAAGACCATTAGAGCTACATTTCTTAAGTTATAACCTGTCTTTCTATAACTACCTATTGTTCGGATTAATTCCATCTTTTGTTTGAAGTTGAAATTTTGACTTGTTGCATAAAATCCAATGAAGAATGTAATCCAAATGTTCTTTTCTACTTTCATCTTTGCGTATCATTTCTTTGTATCCTATGGTTAGGTCAAAGTTTACAGTATTTGAATTTCCAGGAGGTATAAAATATTTCATGTTTGATCTGTTGTGTTTGAAGAGTCGATTTTTATCAACTGAATAGTTTCCAATCTCGTTTGGTTTTCTAAAAACAGGAGGCTTTCTGTCAAATCTAATTGTAGGATGTGTCCTAAATGACACGCTTTTATTTTCGGTTTCTGTGTCTGCTTGTAACTTCTCTCTTTCCCTATAGTTAACTGTTCGTTTCATTGTTGCGGTTTGGAATCAAATCGAAAGTGAAAATAAAAAAATAGAACAGGAAACAATTATTTACTCAATCAGATCAAGTTTAATGAAATCTGTCAGCCAATGAAATCTGTTGTTTCATTACAACCGAAAGAAAAAAATGTCAGCCCCCATGTAGATTTCCTCAAGAAAAAAGCGACAAAAGGAAATAAGATATCTTAGTATGTTTGATGTTTTCGAGTTAACTAGTGGGATTTTTTTTATAAAGCCCATTGAATGGATTTCATCAAAGATTTTATATTGTGAACAAAAGTATTCACAAATTTTGATTTATTGTTCTTTCTTTAAAAGGAGGTCTTTTGTTGGCCGGCGCCTTATAGTTATACACCATATCCTTATTTATTCAAATCCTGATAAGATCAGTAATTTCAAAACTTTTTTATGACGACACAAACCAGTTGAAGCTATCTGGGGCCCAGTTTAAACAATGTATTAACGTATTTACACTTTTGGTATTTAGCTGAAATTTGTCTCCTAAAGACTTAATGACCTTAGGCAAAGATCTGCTCCGAATAACCTTCTGGCGTCCAGCAACAATCACTTATTAATTGTGACGTCTATTGCTCATAGAAATTTGCATAGAGACATGTTTAAACAATCAAAAACACTCCAAACAAAGCATGAATAATGAATAGTTATCTATCATATCTATCAAAATCTCCAAATGTCCACTTTCTTAACTTTTTCCTCCCTCAGCTTATTTAATATATAGCAATACTGATGACCTGTTTCTGTGACAGAAAGTTGTCTTAGTAACTGTTTTTCAGGAAAGAACTAAATAGCGATAAGGTGTATAAATGTTGTATCCCTTTTCAGTGTTCCAGCTAGGATTTCAAAAGGGCAGGGAGCCAATCATGAAAAGGGCACTTTAGCACGATGATTGATGTTTCAAAAAGGGCATGTCAAACATTGTCTTATGTTAACTGCAGGGGTTTCAGCTAGGAGTTTTGAGGGGGTTTAGTCACTTTTACGCTAGATAAAAATCAACCTATTTTGGGTAACAGTATTAAAGGGACCATGCAAGGACGTATATTACGCAGCGGCGTTTTGTAGAATTATTTTTATTAAGTCTTTTAGTATTAAGACTTATTGGTTTTGCTCAGTTCTTATTATTCTTCTTCTTCTTCTTCTTCTTCTTCTTCTTCTTCCTCTTCCGCCACTTTTAAATTTGAACTTGTCCGCACCCGTTCTCCAAAACCGCTTGTCATATTAACTTAGGGTTTCACAATATGCTAGACTAACATGTCTAGTGGTGCAATCAGGGTTTTGTTTGTGCATTGGGGTTTATAAAGGGGTACTTTGAGGGGCAAAAAGAAAGGAGGGTTTTACTATAGAACCCTATGGGATTTTATTTTTTTAAATTTTCAAATGATTATAAATTGAAAACCGTTTGTGATAGACACAATCTTTTTAATTGAAAATGTTCTAAATGATAAAGCACATTAAATGAAATACAGGGTGAGTCCCCAGGGGTCACCCCCACCCCCTGTCATTTAAGAAAGTTCTAATATCTTTTAAATGGTTGAGATCCCCACCCCTAAACCATATATATTCTGGTTTGTCATGCTAAGATGGTTTGAATGATATACAGGGTTAGTCCCCAGGGGTCATCCCGACCCCCTGCCATTTGAGAAAGTTCTAATATCTTGTAAATGGTCGAGATCCCCACCCCTAAACCATATATATTCTGGTTTGTCATGATAAAGCACATAAAATGAAATACAGGGTTAGTCCCCAGGGGTCACCCCCACCCCCTGCCATTTAAGAAAGTTCTTATATCTCGTAAGTGGTCAAGATCCCCACCCCTAAACCATATATATTCTGGTTTGTCATGCTATGATGGTTTGAATGATATACCGGGTTAGTCCCCAGGGGTCATTCCGACCCCCTGCCATTTGAGAAAGTTCTAATATCTTGTAAATGGTCGAGATCCCCACCCCTAAACCATATATATTCTGGTTTTTCATACCAAGATGGTTTGAATGATATACAGGGTTAGTCCCCAGGGGTCATCCCGACCCCCTGCCATTTGAAAAAGTTCTTATATCTTGTAAATGGTTGAGATCCCCACCCCTAAACCATATATATTCCTGTTCATCATGTCTCGAACATTTGAATGCCATATACGGTCAGTCCCCAGGGGTTCCCCCCACCCCCAATGTTCTAATATCTTGTAAATGGTTGAGATCCCCACCCCTTAACCATATATATTCCTGTTCGTCCGGTCTCGAACATTTGAATGATGTACAGTACGCACAGAGAGTTTGTAATCGCGAACTCTAATCACGGATTTCGGAGTGTAGCGGTGTCACACCGCGAATCACGGATTATACTCCCAATTTCCTCCAAAGATTCTCTCCCAACACCGCGTGGCTGTTAATTGGTTTATTGCCCATCGGATGTACTGAAAATTAATGACGCGTGACAACATAATCGGATTAGCCAGATTTATTACCTTTGTACATTTAATCGATCTTGATTGCACGTGTGTGCTTTAAAACACGGTATTAAGATTTCCTTTCTTTGACAGATAAAAATGTGACATTTTCATTCAAAATAAGATAATTATTCTTGTATGTATTTGCCCCATGTCATTGTCATTTGAAATAAAACGTACAAACGTATAAAAATACGAATAAAACACTTATTTTGTATTTTTATTATAGTCCGGTCAGGTCATAATTTTTGTTTTTTCAACAAAGACGATTTTACTACAATTAGAATCTTTTATGACCTACTCAGTGAGCAATATCCGGTTCATTAATTGTTCAATATATAAATATCAACTGGCTTAAAACAAAATGATGTTTTTACGGTAATTTGTCCAATCTAAACCCAAGAGTTAATTTATCGGATCAACAAGTGAACTCTGTTACTTTCAATTTATTTTGCAATGTAAAATATTATGTTTCACTACCTCGGTAGATTACCGACTTGAAATATTTGAACTCAGAAAAGAAACTGTAAAGTGACAACTCTGTTGAACGAAGGGAAAACTTTTTGTATGCAATGTGCCCTATATTCATAAAAACACAACACTGAGAGACATTCCCCGCCCAGACACAACACAATAATCACAACCTAATTTAATTATAAGAAGAAAAAAAAATCATGTGTTGTTTATCTCTGTTATGATCTGTTATTGATCCTTTATTATTTAAAATAAAATTGGATGGGCGCAATCCGTATTTTACTGCTCGTTAAAAGTCCTTGGCGAAATAAAAAAAAGAAGTATTTCAACAATTAATACTATAGAATATTTAAATGAAATTATATCGTGTTCTACAAGAAAGAAATATGTGAAAAAAATGTGGATCGGATTTTTACGATCTACACATTTTCACAGAGGATCTCTACCAACGCCCAACAGGAACTGAACGACATGCATCCTGTTTTCATCTACCATTTATGTATATTGTTGACCATGGACGTATAAATAATGTCCAGGTTTATGTCCTGTGTTGACTGAGAAACGTAAAATTAAAAGGCTGGTGTTCGTTTATTCAGAAAAGGATTATATTTTAGATTCCGGTTAATCAATTGTAAAAGGACCTTCTAGAGCCTCAATCTTAAGGCATACAAAATGTCAATCATTCCAAAGCAAATTTAAACCCCGAATGAATTTTCCCACGGTCATCCAGAAAGGTCACCTGAGTTTACTGTTACGTGATAATATTTCCCGCCAAATAAAAATCTCGTGGACAAAATTGATGTCACTATTTTTAGCATTCAATATTGTGAGCGAAGTCAAGTTCAAAGTTCAACCACGGACTGTCGATCACTGAGATGTGTACCGTCTTCCCACGGCAATTAATTTCTTTTAAAAAAATTAAAAATCACTGTCCTTTATACAACACACAAGTTTACATTCATTGTGCGTAAATGAATATTATGCAACGACGAGTTGATGCAGCTATATAAGTATTCCTGTTGTAGCCGAAATGTAATTATTTATCCTAAAGTAATGCCAACAAATCGTAAAGAGAAAATGCCGTAGACTTATTAAGCATAACGAATGGTGAATAGAATTTTCTTTTTTACTTGCATATACAAATTTTGAGACACGTAATTTTCTTTAAGCTGCTCACTTTTATATTCAGCGTTAGTTTCCGTTTATTTTTACGCAAGTATGTCTCTTTTCGTAAATAAAATAATTTACCGATGAACTTAAACAAGGTCAAAATCAAGTATAGTTTTTGTTATAAAACTTTAATGCAATTGAAAGAATTAACAACAACATTCTGCTTTTAAATCTTTAATTTGTTTCAAGCGATTATGTAATCGTAAAATGAAAATGGCGTGGACTTATTAGCATAATGAATAGTGAATAATATTTTCTTTTTTACTTGTATACAAAACTTTGAGACATGTAATTTTCCTTTAAACTGCCCACATTTATTCAGCGTAAGTCTCCGTTTATTTTTACACAAGTATATCTCTTTTGTAAATTAAATATTAATTTACTGACCAGAAAAAAAAACGAGGTAAAAATCAAATATAGTTTTTTTTTAATAAAACTATTTTTAAATGTACAGTGTAATTGAAAGAATTAACAACAACGTTTTGCTTTTAAATCTTTTATTTGTTTCAAGCAATCAGAAATATAACCTGATTATCAATAGACAGGAAATACAATTGTTTAATTACATATGTAATCTCACATACCTTGACTGTCGCGTGCCGGTATAGATCAGAAGGATTAGGGCAATTAATTACCTGGTGTGACACCGCGTCACACCGGACTGGGAGAGATGTCGCTAATACAATAAACAAAAGGTAGCGAATTTACGCGGAAGTCGGAGGGAATACTCCCAAATTTCTCCGAGAATTTAGGGAGGGATGTCGGAGTTTCCTGGTGTCACACCAAGAAAAAACTTGGTGTTCGGAGTTTGGGAAGCCTTTCGCGAAATTTGTACTGTATAGGGTCAGTCCACAGGGGTTCCCCCCACCCCCAATGTTCTAGTTTCTTGTAAATGGTCGAGATCCCCACCCCTAAACCATATATATTCTGATTTGTCATGCCAAGATGATTTGAATGATATACAGGGTTAGTCCCCAGGCATCACTAATGCATATACTTTACTGGACTAAACCAATTTTCACTGGACTTTGTCCAATGTCAGGCGACACTGGGAATTTCGAATTATTGGAGCTTCGTTTGGGAGACTTCGTAACAGCATCCTGTTACAATCATTTCTTGTTTCATTAGTGAAATGAATTGTGCATGTCAGTTAAAATACTACCACTAGATCTGCAATACAGTCAGAAACAATACCTTACATTTTCTCCAGGGGCCAACCTGGATCCCAAAACTTTTTTCCAAGGGCCCAGTAGAAATTTTAAGGCCCTACCAGGGTATTTTTACTACATGTACATACTTATTAATAGTCCATATACATGTAGCCCAGTGTTTCTGATTATGATAGAAATAATAAATGAATTATAATGAACCACATTGAGTTTTTCAGAATTAAAATCTGTTAACCATGTCTTTTCACACTGTTCAACTTATTGTAATATTATATATACCCCCCCCCCCCCCTTTTCCATTTTACACACCCCTGGATGTAGAGTATTAAAGTATCAGTTTCACCCCAAGTAAGTATTCATTTTTAATGAAATAATCTTAGCAGTTAATCAAAATGAAAATCTTACTGTCTATAAATAACAATGAAATGTAACTGTTTCTTGTTATAAGGGTTTTCCTGATTTTCCTGCCAAAAAAGCACATGGCTTTCAACAAATGTAAACAAAGCAGTCAATTTGTGATTTTGGATTACAGCTTTAATTAATTTAATTTGGATATAGATATTCAATGAAAGGTACAGTCAAGCATTGTTTTTACTTTCTTCTGGATTAAAACTAGTTTAAAAGGTCAATTTAAATTTATCTGTAATCACAACTTATTACACCTGCTGTAATTGTTAATTAGCGGAGGGTCATAAACTTGTCATAAATATGAAGACAGGTAGAATAATTGTATTTTCATCAAAATATTACGGCAATAAAGGCATGGACTTACAAAAAAGGGTAGGGCGTCTTTAAAAGGGCACAGAGCGGCACTCGGGAAAGGACGGGAGGACTGCCCTGTGAAAACGACCTAGCTGGAACACTGCTTTTGCAGTTGTTCATTGTTGGAGAGTGAAAATAACTGCAGCAAAACTTAAGTTTGGATTAAATGAACGAATATCGGCTTTGATTGACAGGGTTATGATCGGTTATAGGTTATAATTGTCATGAGCTATTTTAAGGTTAATGTGTGACAATGTACATCATGCATGTACATGTACATGTACATTACCTGTCAACTACCCAATTTTGCGGGTCACACCTGGGAATTAAAGAGCACACCTGGGATTTTCCTGTAGTTGCCTGGGTCATCAAATAACCCGATACTTAGGCATTTGACCAGCTTTCACCCGTATTCTTGTGCCTTGAGACTTTTTATTTCATAAGTGATTTTCCTTTGAAATACGGACAAATTCGTAATTCTTCCTGTACAGGAAGTTCAGCTAGCTGTGTAAACAGTCAAATAAAGTGACCCATTAAGTGCATGGCTTTACTTGACAGCTTTGGTGTCAAACACACTGTTAATTTAAACCAATCACCTTAGCCTAAGGTCATAACTAATCTGTGTATTTCAAAAATATTTGACAAAAAATTCGAATTACTCCCCCTTTTTTGTCACTTTTCACAGTATACTCCTTAAATTGATGTTTTGTAATAATTAAATCTAAGGCAAATTGAATTCAAAGATATATAGGAATATTACTCAAATGATTATAATTTTCTTAGGACAATTAAAAAATGAATATTTTGGAAATTATTTTTTTCATCTCTACTTTCTTTGAATGCTTCAATTTTAAATTATATCAACTACTGTGGATTCAGTTATTTTCGTGGGTATCAATTTTCGTGGATAGAGAAAAAAAGACGTTTCGTGGTATACGTAAATTCGTGGATTGCTGATCACAAAAAAAAATAAATTCAGATTCGTAATTCGTGGATTTCTTTTTGATTTAGGAGATCATATAACCTCCTTAGTTTGATCAATAATAAAACAAACAAAAAAGAAGGAATTCATTGAAAACGTTTTGAATTGTCAAAATCCTCGCTTGGTCATTCTAGGTTAAAGTGTTCATGAAAACTTCCATTACAATAATGGACAGAGACAACTAATTATTTGTTTGTTTTACAATTTATAACTTCTTGTCGGAATTTTATAAGGCATTCAAAACTCTATGATTGAAAGCTCATTTCCCTAATCACGATATAATAAACAGTCATATAAGTAAAAGGTGTGAAAATAAATGTTTCTGTCATAAACAATATTACATGCGGGCAATATCCCCGTACTTAATCCTATTGATTTTTAATCACCAGTAAACCAAACTATGACACGGTAATTAACAACTTGCAGTTATTGTCCATGAACAGTTTTAATCAATTTTAAAAAGTAAATTATCACTGATATTCGATATATTTATTATTGATTTAATCAAAATACTTGTATCTTCTTTCAATAAAAACACGTGTTATGTTACAATGTTTATCGCTAGTCAACACTATACATGAACTGCATAACATAACTGGAAATAAACATCCGACTCCATACACATTTCTCGGGATTATTCTTCGTTGAATTCTTAAATTCGTGGTTCGCTGTGACCCACGAAACCAACGAAAATTGGTATACCACGAATAAAAATGAATCCACAGTAATATTAACAGCTTCTACATGAAATATAGAGTAAAGCTCTGTAGTGCTTACTTGCTAAATAAAACCAGGAAGCATATGATTTAAAGGTTGATTTAAAACAGTGTGAATGAAACATGAAGAGGGGGTATGTCTGGAATAGATAGAGTATAAAAAATTAGTAATAATAAATGGAAAGAGAAAATAAAATTGAAGTTTTAAATTATGTTCAGTAAGTACTTAACCATGTGAACATGATTTGGAAACTGTTCGATTTAAAATATAAAAAATGTCCCCTAAATACTTAAATTCAGCTGAAAAAAGTTTGTACATCTTATGACCTGAGACTTTCTTCTTCAATGCAGGTCATGACCTGCATTTTCATTTTCAGAGGTTGACAGATATGATGTACATGTATGTACATAGTAAATAGTAAGGGTAGGGTTTTTTTCTCTGTGAATCCCGTTCCCAGCGAGTTGTTTTGCTTAATAAGGTCAGTTCACCCCTGGAAAGTAAGTGGTTTTGTCCTGACTTAAACAAAATATATATATTGATAATGTGGAAGTTAATCACATTTATTTATTATAAAAAATTATAACACTTAATTGACATTATGTGCTGTACTTAATACACTGTTGTTTTGTCAAATCTTTTATTATAATAATCATTGTTATAATACTTGTGGTGAATAAATAAAAAAAGTAAAAAATCCTGATTTAGTCTTTGTGTTTGTTTCTGTTCTTTCTTGATGGCTCTTTTAATATTTAATTTGAGTAATCTTTTGTTTATTTCTTCTTCGACCCATGGAACATACAGGTTTTGTGTATTTTGGAGAAAGACTAAATGTCTCATTGCAATGCAGCAATAGCAAGATTATTGGTCTCATGTCAAAATAAGAAATTATCATACATCGCATAATAAGCAAGTCAATTTTTAAGTCTTTGCTTTGACATGGCTAGGAATTCAGAGTCATTTGTGTTTCACAATCCTCTTTGCTCTCTTTGACCATGAATCAAGTACACCACTAAGGTGGATTGATATAAAATGTGAAAAGGGTGAAACTTGATATGATTATTGTATCAATAAATTTTATGCTTGTGTATTCCAGCTCAAGATGAGTAGAAAAAGGACATTGATGCCTGAATTCTACAAAAAGAAGAAAGTATGTACAGAATCTCGTAACAAAGTACCTATAACTGATGCTGAAAGGGAAGAAGGTAAATATACATTATAACATGAGTTCAAATAAGACATATACAGTACAGTTAAAGCGAACATGTTTCCTAACTTCTTACACCGCAATTTTTCACGGAGTGACACCAGGAAACTCCATTATCCCTCCCTAAATTCTCTGAGAAATTTGGGAGTATTCCCTCTGACTTCTGCGTAAATTCGCTACCTTTTGTTTATTGTATTAGCGACATCTCTCCCAGCACAGTGTCACACCGTGTCACACCGTGTCACACCAGGTAATTAATTGCCCTAATACTTCTGTTCTATGCCGGCATGCGACAGTCAGGGTATTTGAAATTCTTATGTAATTAAACAATTGTATTTCCTGTCTATTTATAATCAAGTTATATGTCTAATTGCTTGAAACAAATAAAAGATTTAAAAGCAAAATGTTGTCTTTAATTCTTCAATTGGATTAAATAGTTTTATTAAAAAAATAACTATACTTGATTTTGACCTCGTTTTTTTTTTTTTTTTTCTCACCGGTAAAATAATATTTTATTTACGATGTGTAAAAATAAAAGGAAACTATCGCCAATGTATAAATGTGAGCATTTTAACGAAAATTATGTGTCTCAAACTTTTGTATATGCAAATAAAAAAACAAATTATTTACCATTCATTTTGTTTCTTACTACGATTGGTTGGTATTTCTTTGATATTTAATACATTTCGGCGACAACAGGAATACTTCCATAGGTAAATCAACCTTGGTACACAAATATGTGGTTTACGCATGACATATTGGTCATACGATGGGTATTAATTGAATGAATGAATGAGTATTAACTCTGTGTGGTCTTTTCTGATCAAATTAATAATTAAAATTTGCTCTTTCTAGCGAGCAGGGGAAAGTTATAACCTATGTATAACACTATGGTCAACTGGTATGGCAGTTTTGTGCTTTAATGGTGCTGCATTGACTCGTTGTTGCATAATATTTATTTACGCACAATGCATGTAAACTTGTGTGTTGTATTTTGGACAGCGATCTTAAAGGAAATTAATTTGCTGTGGGAAAATTCCACGGTATATACAGTATACTAAAAAAATAGCTGACATCAATTTTGTCCACTGCATGAGATTTTCATATGGCGGGAAATATCATGTAATAGTAAACTCAGGTGACCTTACTGAACGACCTTGGGAAAATTCATTCAGGGTTAAATTTGCTATGTAATGATTGACATTTTTGTGCGTTAGTATTGAGGCTCTGGAAAGTCCATTTACAATTGAATTACCAGAATCTAAAATATAATCCTTTTCCAAATAAACGAAACACGTCTTCTTTAACTGTTTTATTTTTTATATTTTATCAGTCTGGTAGTTATACTTCCATGGTCAACAATATTCATTTAAGGTTGGGGAAAATACGGTGCATGTCGTTTAGTAGGGCATTAGTAAACATGGTAAAGATCCTCAGTGAAAATGTGTAGAGTGTTAAAATTCTGTCCACTTATTATTTTAACATAATCTTTTCTTGTAGCATAAGTGCATCTGGGCACATGCAATAATTTAATTTAAATGTTTTTCGTAGATATATTTGATTTTTTTTTTTTTCACGGTAATTGTTGAAATAATTGTTTTTTTCATAACGCCAAGGATTTATAACTAACATACGGATTACGCGCATCCAATTTTATTTTTTATAATTAAAGATCAATTACAGAGGTAAACGCATGTATTTTTTTCTTATAATTAATTAAATTGTGAATGTTGTGTTGTGGCTTGGGTGCAAAATTTCTCACAGTAAAATGTTTTTATAACAAAAAGCATGCATACAAAACGTGATCCCTTTGTTCAACAGAGCTGCCACTTGACAGTTTCTTCTGGAAACTCTAATAATTCAAGTCAGTTACGTAACGAGTAGTGAAACATTGCAAAATAAATTGAAAATGACAAAGTTCACTTGTTGATCAGATAAATTTACTTTGTGGTTCAGATTGGACGAGTTACCTTAAAAACAACATTTTGTTTTAAGCCAGTTGATTTTTATATAGTGAACAATTAATGCACCGGATATGGCTATTTGAGTAAGTCATAAAGTTTCCTAATGGTTGTAAAATTGTCTTTTGTTGAAAGAATACAATGTATGACCTGACCGGACTATAATAGAAATACAAAATAACAAGTTTTTTTCTTCATATTTTTATTCATTCGTATGTTTTTTTAAGTGACAATGACATGGGGCAAAAACATATAATAATAATTATTTTCTTCTGAATGCTGATGTCACATCTAATCTGTCAAAGAAAGGAAAACATTTGTTATTCAGATTTAATACCGTGTTTTAAAGCACACAGGTGCAATCAAGATCGATTAAATGTACATAGGTAAATAATCTGGCTAATCCGATTATGTTGTCACGCGTCGTTAATTTTTAGTACATCCGATGGGCAATAAATCAATTAACAGCCACACGGTGTTGGGAGAGAATTTTTGGAGGAAATTGGGAGTATAATCCGTGATTCGCGGTGTGACACCGCTACACTCTGAATCGGTGGAAAGAGTGCATGATTACTCCCTCTCTGTGTGTACTGTACATTCAGTATTCCATTGCCATTTCTTTCTCTTTGATGTTATAAAGAATGAAAAGTATAAATGTTTATTACATTTACTATAAATGTTATATTTCAGTATCTAGAGTGCCAACTGATACAGAGGTGTATTTGCTGTATTTTAAAAACTTATTTCCATTAGATAAATTTGAACATCGACTTCCACCAATGGTACTGAAACATCAGTTATACAGTTTGAACAAAAACAGAACTGTTGTTGATAAAGAGCTGGTAAGTTGGAATGTTTTATTGTAATTGGTAAACAATATCATACAAAATGACAGGAATTAATATTGTTTGATACATTGAAACAGAATTTGCATGTTTGAAGTAGCAGGACACATTAGGAAATATCCCATACAGTATACATTTAATTTTTGAGCCTAAATGTAAACTGTTAAAAAGTGACAACTCTTGTTGTTGTAATTGATTGATATGCAGGGCAATATGGTGAGGTATGCTTTTCAAATCAAGAGCCCCCCTCCTCTCAGTGTTTGATGCATGAACTTTTTTAGAGACTTTTTCAAATGACTTGAAAAAAAAAGTAAACTTTTTTGTTTGTTTTGTTAGAATCATTAATTATACTGTAATGTCCATAGTAGGGATCCTATTTTCATCAACACTGCTGTTGGTCAGGTAGCAAAAAAAAAGATATACTCAACGTTAAATAAGGTTTAATGAAAAACATTCAATATGAAAATAAGACATGATTTTTATAAGAATTACATCCTTAAAGACACTTTAACAGCAGATTTCCATGTCATTGTCTTATTGAAAAATATTTTTTATCTTCAGAATGATCTGAAAAATAAAGGTTTGATAAAGATATTTAAGATAGGATCTGAGTTTGATGAATATGCAGTTGTGTTTACAGAAGATTACAGATGTCATGTGACCCGAGTTATGGCTGAAGTTTCTGTGCCAAAAAATATAGCAGGTAAAATAAAATTAAGGAAAAATTAGATAGTATGAGTAAAAAAGATTTGGAGTACATGTCAATGTGACATCAACCCAACAATAAAAAAAATGTGAGTCTGATCTTTTTTCATTGCAAATTATTTTTGACTTCAATCTTAATGACAAGGATTGCCAATTTTCTGGCTGAATGTCAGAGTTTTCTCTGGGTACTCTTAGTTTCCTCCACCAATAATACTGATTGTCACAATATAGCTGAAAGCGGTCTTCAACACCAACAAACAAACAAAAATTGTAATTAAACAAAAGTATTGTTCATATATCTATATAAAATAAAGGTATAGACAATGGGAATGCAACTATTCAGATCCAATATGGTATTTAGGTAGATAGGGAAAATAAAGAAAGTTTTTGATAGATTGACACTATGCAGTGAACAAAAATTAAGTTCAAATAAATGCTTCATTTGTTTCATTAGGGCCCCGCTGAATGGCAGACACCCTATAGTGATCAGTCTGTCCGTCTGTCCGTCCGTAACAAATTGTGTCCGCTCTATATCTTGAGAACCGTTATGATTTCAAAGTTTATACTTGATACGTATATAAACCAACACCAGAGGGTGTGTCATAATTTATGTACAACTTCCTAGGTCAAAAGTCAAGGTCAAAAACTTTGGTTTCAGTTGACAACCCCATTCCAATGATAAAGATACAAATTTTTTACCACACATTATTCACAGCGGGGCCCACAGAGATGGCTCCCATCTCAATGATATCTAGTTTTTCAGCACATTCCTCTTACATAATCAGATTATCCATAATATCCACTAATTTGAAATATTTACTGGTTTTCAGATAAATTTGTTAACACCATTGTGAAGAGGTGTAATGATGTATATGTAAATAAAGATACATTGATAAAAGAATATAACTTTAAAGACGACGATATTACGTAAGTATAGAACAGGAAATAACAAATATATTAAACTTCAATGTATAATCCAAAAAAATTAATATATACTGCCTACTTTTGGTGGAAATTTCATCAAACTTTGCTCATTGGAACAATTGTTGGTTGATTTTCTTAGTTCTTACATGTTACAGTCACTATCAAATGAAGAAATGATACTTAAAAGTGTTTTAGTTCTACAATTCCATTACCAACAATTTGCCGTCTCAGAATTTAAAACTGGGATATTGTACTTGTAAATTATTTGTAAAGTATGTGTAGAGATTTTGTATCATGAATTAATACACCACATCTCTTATTTTTCCATTAGATTAAGGAGTCAAATATTTCTCTCTCTCTCTCTCTTAGAAAACCTTTAAAGCTTAAAAAAGTTCAATTATGAGGTTAAAGTATTCATATTTGCTGCTAGGACCACAGTATGAAAAGTTCTATTGTTTAATATATCTTGTGTATATCAATGTATGTGTATTTTTTGTTTTCTTATAGGCAACTTCTGAAAGCCACAGTGTTAACAAACAGAACTGTTGGTAGTTGGTGGTTAGCTGTACCCAATACTGGAATGTTTATGAAAAGTTTACTGCGTGGGAGGAAAGCCATACTAACCATGATAAAAAAAAGCAAATACAAGGAAATACTCAAAAATGTATGTAGTATGTTTGCATATTCTTCTTAGTGATGGACACCTGGGTCTAGGTGAGGGGAGTAGTTTGCTTTTCTGGTTTACATTTACATATATGGATCAATAATGCAATCTTGTCCTGACAAAGGTAATAGTCTCATTACATATTTCACATTTGCCTATATATATATATCACTGCAACCTAGGTCTAGGTGGACAAAATAACGTATAGTTTACAAAAAAAAAAAAACTATTTAAGTCATAGCAACCTGATCACTAGTCAGTCAGGGGTACTACTTGTACAAGTTATCTTTATTTACTTGAAGAAGTAAATAATAATATACTTATATAAGTAAATTTTGTTATGTCCATTTTTTCTTATAAAGTTTGAATAATCTCCCTTTAACTTTCTCAAAAATTCTCAAGTCTTCAGATGTAAAAACATGCCTTTAACAATTTTTCTCTGGTTAGCTCATAATTTTTTATTAGAGTTCAATGTTTCATCTCATTAATTCAACAAAGAAACTAATTGTGCAAAGATGTTAAGTAATTGAGCAAGGCCTTCAAAATTTTCACCTTGCACTTTTACAACTTGACTGTGGTTTTCTATAGCAATTCGTTAAAATTTCTAACCAGTTGAACAATTTGGTTTGATAAAACAAATTTCAATTTGGTCAGAATTTTTAGTAAACTGCAATAAGTGGAGAGCAACACTTACAGTCAAGTCACAGTAAAAAAATATATCATTTATTAAAATTTAGAAAAAAAATACATCTTGAAATCTTAATTTTCATCACAAAAGTTAGTATGTGTATCCTTTTTTTTTTTTTTTTTTAAATTTCAATTTATTCAGACTTTATGGAGAATGGCTTAGACATTTCCTTTTCAGATTATGCATATTTTGTATATAGATGTTTGATCATTTATCCTAAATCATGTGTTATGCTTTCAAGATGAATTGATTTGTAAATCTAGTGTTCATTTGGAAAAAAGTCAGTAGATGTGTTCAGTTCGTTAAATGCCATTGAAGAAATTCTTGGGATGAAAACTTTAATTTCATATCTTCTAATTTATATTTTTTCTTGTAGGATTTAGAACAGAGAAAATTACCTAAAATGTGTCGTTTAGGATTAACATATCATCTACAAGATATTATTGGTGCTGATCTGATACTCAGGTAAAGTATTGTAACATTGAGAAAAGAAAGATTTTCCCCCCATAAATATGAATAAAAGATGTGGGTTACATCAAGGAGACAGCAACCCCTAAAAAAAAGAAGACACATGGCACTGGCCAACAAATTACAGCATGGAAAATTATTTTTAATTTTTCTAATTTCTCTTTTTGACTGACAATGAATATTCTGTAATGTCACTTAAGGTTATGATTTTTATTATAATCACTTCCTACATACTACTTTAAAATCTTGGTCTGCCTAGCATACAGTTATCATTCTAACAATATGTTCAAACACAGAAAATTGCACATAGTCAAATAAATTCTAAAAATATTAATTGCATCATTTAACTTCTACTAATCACCAATGCCAGTGTCTAAGTAAAAAAACTATTATACAATGATGTCTGATGTGTGTGTACAGGCTTGTAAAGTTTCTATTTCATCTTTTTAACCATTCCAAATTTTTATATAAAGAAATGTTGATTTTACAGTATACAAACAACCTCGGGACAGCTGCTAAGATTGAAAGATTGATGAAAACTCTCATTAGAATGTGATGTATGAAGACTGGGATGTTATTGATGATGATGATGCTGTGTGTTTGTATTGTTCTTTGTTAAACACATGTATTTATTAGTTTGAATGTGATAGGGAATTTTTTATGAGTACAGTACTTGTTAAACTTGCATGGTTCCTGTTTAAACATGACCATGTAAACAAAATTGTTCTTCTTCAGAGTAGGAATTCTAAAGAATTATGAATTCATTTTTTTTGTTTTGTTTTTTAAATTTTTGTATCGAACACAAAGTGTTGCATTGGTAAAAACATGCTTGAGTTTTAAAAATTAATTCTACAAGTCTCTATTTTTCTTGTAGCTATTAGTTTAAATCTGAAACATGAATTTGCTATTGTTTTATTTTTAAACAAAATAGAAATATCAATGAAAATTTCTGATATTGTATAAGGAATGACAGTCTTATAAACAAAGTAACAAGAAGCATTTAAAATGTCAAGTAACATTGTAAATTATCCTAACTAGAATTAACAGAAATATTTTAAATAACTGATAAATGTTTTATGAGGTAGCCATATATGTGAAAAAATGTTATATATGTGATAGTTTATTTTGTATAATACCAAAATTATTTATATATGATAGTATATTAGCTGTTTATTTATTTATTTGAATTAATTTATTATATGAATGTCTGATCACTACATGTGTCCAGTTATTCAAAATAACCATCCTTTTATCATGAGTTTTTCCACTTCTCTGGACAGCAATAGGATTTTTTTTAATGATTGAAAGTTATTCCTCAAAACAATGGTCAATATCTTAGTTAAAACCAGGCTAAACTAACACATTATATTAAGTGTTATGAGGTTTAAGGTAGTCTTGAGCTAGACATATTGAAATAAGTATAAATGTTTCAGTAGCATACAAACCCCCCAAAACAGATATGTCTGTCAAAAAATATCTAATGATTTCTGGTTAGATTTCAGATATTTCAAGAAGATTCTAAAAATTATTAATTATCATCAACATCCTATAGGAATTTTGCCCTTTAATGACAAGTTTTACCCAATATTGTGTTTTGGCAATCATATTGAAAATTTTAATAGATAGAGAAAACACTGTAACAGAAAAAATTATCAGCAGCCAATAATTTAGGCCATTATAAAAAAAATCATAGTTGTATAAAACTTGGTTTCAAACATAGTTAATTACTTTGTGAGTTAAAGATTGCTGCCACTAGGTTGTTTTGTTTCTACGTCAAGCGATGTGACCAAATTACACTGGTTATGTATAGAAACAAAAATATCAACTAAATTGGAATAGTTTAATATGACTGAAATGAGGGTGTACGAACATTCTGAAATAATTTATCATTTTCTAAAAAATGCAGCATCTCATCCCCAAACTCTTTAAAAGGGCCCCTATAATATCTACATGTAAGAGCAAGGTGGACAGGGTTAGGGACCTTGGACTTCTGATATATGGAACCTTTGGTTCAAGGGTGGTGGGCTAGGAGTAGAGTGGTCAGAAAGCATGAGAACTTGAGTGGGCTGGAGGAAAATCAAAATAGGTGACAATAGAAAAGTTCAGGGCTACCTAGTGATTAGGAATAAAGGGATGACCATTTTGATATTCCATTGGGGCGATGGGACTTGTGTGGTTCTTGTTTAAACATTGCCATGCAAAAAAAAAATATTAAAGAAAATTTAATGCAAAGCACAATGCAACATAAATATTTGTATTGCTATTCATTTACAACATTATTTTGGTTGAGGATATTTGATGTAGCTTCTTGAAATGCCAAGATGTTGAGATTCAAACCCTTTCCTCCCCCTTTTCCTTTACCAAAGTTTTTTTTTTTATGCATGCAGGCCTCAGATGAAATTTTTAGATAACAACTCTTCAAATAATAATCTACATTATCTTTTTGCGTTTCATTCAACTTACAACTTTTCCACAATCTAGTATCTCAATAATCTGCAACAAGCTCCTCATCTGAAAATGATGTACTTGGGTGTACACTCATTAGAAAACTTCTTAAAAAACAAACAGACATAAAAATACCTGACAACACCTGAGGGAGAGAACAGTATACATTGGTAGCCAGAAACAAACCAGTCCACTGTTGCTTAAAGTTTTGATGTTGAGTATTTTTGGAATCCAAGGAGCCTCTAGTTTGTGTTGTTTGTAGAATGTACAAATGCATGAATTATTTATTCAAACAATTAAAAATTGTAGTTTAGTTGATTTTTGTGATGTAAAGCTCAAATCTACAAGATAAGTTTAACTTATGAATACTTTTGTATGAAAGCAGGTTTTAGTGTTAATAAGATGGAATATAGCACAAATGACCTTGACTCATCAGCAAAATACTAAGTGTTTTTATCTTTGAATCTGTAAGAAAGTGCAGAAATTGTACACATTTCTTTCTTTTATATTTTTATAAATGTTATCTAACATTGTGACAGTTGCTCTAGTTTCTTATCTCTTAAAATAGTATCAAAGCGGTAGTAGAAGTACCTCCCAATATACACTACCCTCATTTTAGAATATGTAGCTATGGAATGGTTCCTAATTACATGTGTATTTGTGCTATATTTTGTAACTAATTTAGGTTTCAATAAATATAAAGTTTTAATAATTTCCTTACCTTTTCAGCTTGCATAGCCCATATGTGATTTGTTACTATAAATTTCCATCATTAATCAGCTATTCTCTCTTTTATGTTGTCCTCTGAAACAACTAGGCTAATTTAAAGACAAAAGTAGCAGAAAATATGGTATATTATATAATGATACCACTGGTTTTGGTGGGGTTCATGTTGCTTATTCTTTAATATTCTCTGAAGTGTTTGTAAACTTTTTTTTGTTTTTTCTTTTGTTTTCTTCATTGCAATAGTGTTGTCTATCCTTCTTGGAAACGACAATATTTTACTGCCTCCTGGGATTTTTTATTTCCTCATTTACATAGTCATTTAAGACATGTCTGATCATTATGTAACATTGAGTAGCAACCCAGTACTTTCAATATTTTAATGAATATTAGTTTTCATAATACCTCAAGACATGTTCTCCATCTTCTAGTTAAATTGTTACAGTGATGCTGATCTATTCAGTATTAAATCATAGAATCCACTTTGTTTGATAGTTTTTAGGATTGTTATGAAAGTTTTTGTATATCACTTGGCCAGTAGGGTTCAGTTCACCAAGAACTTATTAGATATATGTATATGTAAGTTATATATAACTTTTTAAGAAACTACATTTATAAAAGTCTTACAAAAATGTGGAATGGTGTGTAGGACTCTGCATTGTACCTTTTAGTTATAGATAGATGCATATTGATAATTGTATTGTATTAAAGAACTGACATGTGATCTAATAATTAGAGATTTTTATGGTCGGAATTTTGTTTTCTGGTAGCATTAAGTTTGAGATCAAACATGTTTGTCATAAATTAAGTGATTTGATATGCTGAGTGATTAACAAATTTTGTATATCAAAGTTATGTATAATCCCAAGTTGAGGGGTCAATTAATGAATAAGATTTATACTACTTTTATTAACCCTATCATGTAGGTACAGTTTTTTACGGGTGACTGCTAGGTACTATAAACTGTTTTAGTCCTCCCTCAGTGTTCTATTATTTCAGAGGGTTGCATTTTCATAATCATTTTACAGAACATATTTCTGTAATACATCTAGACTATTTTCTATGGTTTCCAGTATAATTTAATGATTGAAGGATTGAAAAATTCACACATGGAAAGATTAGGTGCTAGAAATTGTTTTTTTTTGGTTGAGTGGGCTTTAACTTTTTCTGATAGTGCAAACAAGGCAAGCATGCGAAAAGTCTAGAAATGTTCGAAACATAAATATTTCTTTTGATGAAGTGAAGGCCTGAAATTGCTACCTTTTATTTAAGATTAAATTAGAACTAAGAATAGTAAAATTTGTCATTTTTGCTGCTTGTTTGATTGAAAATTTTGCAGAATCAAGAAAAGTTACATTCACTACACCTTTAATTGAAATCCATTGTTACAAGTTTCTTCAACATAAGGTATACTGGAATTAAACTGTAACAAGTTCAATGTGTGTTTTTTTCTTCATTTTTTTTTACTTATTCAAAGACATATGTTGAATTTCAGAATTACCAGGTGTATGTGTATTTGTTCATAAAAACCATTTACACATGGAAAGATTAGGTGCTAGAAATTGTTTTTTTTTGGTTGAGTGGGCTTTAACTTTTTCTGATAGTGCAAACAATTGAAAAATTCACACATGGAAAGATTAGGTGCTAGAAATTGTTTTTTTTTGGTTGAGTGGGCTTTAACTTTTTCTGATAGTGCAAACAAGGCAAGCATGCGAAAAGTCTAGAAATGTTCGAAACATAAATATTTCTTTTGATGAAGTGAAGGCCTGAAATTGCTACCTTTTATTTAAGATTAAATTAGAACTAAGAATAGTAAAATTTGTCATTTTTGCTGCTTGTTTGATTGAAAATTTTGCAGAATCAAGAAAAGTTACATTCACTACACCTTTAATTGAAATCCATTGTTACAAGTTTCTTCAACATAAGGTATACTGGAATTAAACTGTAACAAGTTCAATGTGTGTTTTTTTCTTCATTTTTTTTTACTTATTCAAAGACATATGTTGAATTTCAGAATTACCAGGTGTATGTGTATTTGTTCATAAAAACCATTTACAATATAAAAGAGAATAATACTTTTTTACTTTGTTATGTACAATGTTTTAGTGCCTTTTAATAACATTATTGGTAATAAATACTTGTTTTCCATGTTAGAAATTATTTCTCATTTTCCAAATAAATGTGAATGATCTAGAAGTTGACAAGTGCACCCTTTGGAAAGTCATAAAAGCTTAATTTGAAGTCTGTTTTACCTTACAATTCATTTGCATAGTAGTTAGGGACAATATGAAGGGACCAGTCCATTTTATGCTTAATTCCAAAAAAGTGTTCCATTTAGACACCAAATTGGTTTCAAATTATCCCTAATTTGCAAAATCAAATGTTGAATTTATGCACTTTAAGTAGACATTGCAGTTATGGTTTAAATTATTCCCTATTCATGGATTATACAGCCATAAATAAACTCATCATACATGTAGATACCAGATATTTTGTAGGTCAGACATGCCTTTTGTCTACAAAAGACTCATCAGTGACTCTAGAAAGTTAAGACAGGTTAATTTATTTTAATTGTGAAATAACACAAAATTTTGACCTATTTGACTGGTTAATTTTTTAATAGCAGAAATGTAGGTCACAAATGAAGCCCCAAAAACGATTTTTTCTCAGGAAGTGGATCTGCGTACTTCATAGGATTTTAGGTTTTGTCATTCCAAAGCTTCATTTTTATCATATAAAATAGGATATTTTTTCTTATCTAGCACTATCTCCAGTACTCCGTGAACCATTTATTTCAAACTATGTTTTCTATGTATTGTGTGCGATTTTGTCCCATGTACATTTACTTCATATCCTTTCATTTTCTATTCACTAAATTATTACAAATGGTAGTAAGCTGAAGGTTTGTATATTTAAAAAAAAATCACTTTTGTAGTTTCAGAGTTATTGTACTTTAATTGTCACAATACAATACTTTTCTTATGATTACTGGAGACAAACACATCATGCACTCATGGCTCAGTCTCTTATTATATACCTCGACTGGGTGTTTCCTTTTATGGTACATACTTGTCTGTGTGTGACAAATATTTGAAGAAATGTTAACTTCTAAGATAGTTCACCAGTATTGTCAGTACTTTACCTATGATGAGTTTTTTTTAACCACATAAAGAAATAATAGGAAACCTTGGTAAATCTCATAATGTTTCAAAGATTTCTAAATGAAGTCAAGATGCACAGACATTCTCATCCTTGGGGTTAATGCAGGGCTTCTTATTTTCTTACAATTCAAATTTCAAAAATCCAACTAAAATTCTGGCTGGAAGTTCCATCATAAAATGTCAGAAATTTTTTCAGACAACTTCCAGTTTAACTTGTAAGTTTACAGAAATCTCTCTAACTATAGTTCCTTAGTTAAAAACTTTTTTTCTTCTCCAGACTGAGTTCATACCATATATGTTTTGTTTAATACGTCACATTTATACACAAAATATTAAGTTGAGAAATGTTTTGCATTTTATTAAATAGATGTGAGATGTGTGCCTAAGATTACATGTTATGTAAGGGTTCAGTTGTTCTGTCCCTGTCCATTGATGATCAAGTCATTACACATTACACACTATTTACCGGATTTGTAAATATATAAGCAACACGACGGGTGCCACATGTGGAGCAGGATCTGCTTACCCTTCCGGAGCACCTGAGATCACCCCCAGTTTTTGGTGGGGTTCGTGTTGCTTAGTCTTTAGTTTTTTATGTTGTGTCATCTTTACTATTATTTGTCTGTTTGTCTTTTTATTTTTGGCCATGGCGTTGTCAGTTTGTTTTCGATCTATGAGTTTGACTGTCCCTCTGGTATCTTTCGTCCCTCTTTTACACAATTCATCTGCCTATGATAGTAGTTCGAAATCTATAAAGGATTTGTACCAGTATTTCTTGCATTTCGATTTAATGGATAAACATGGTAATTGATTTGTATATAATTTAAAATGATATATGTACATAGTACAATTATAAAACATAATTTGTCAAATGAAAATGTCAAGGATTTCTTCTGCCAGACATAAATTTCTTAACTATCTTCCGTATTCTTGATTTCAGATCATTCTTATCGTCCTGAAAAAAATCCAATATTTAATGTAATTATCACATAATGAGCAACACAACGGGTGCCACATGTAGAGGATGGCTTGCTTACCCTTCCAGAGCACATGAGACCACCCCAGGTTTAGTGTTGTTCCTGTTGCTAAGTCTTTAGTTTTCTAAGTTGTATTTTGTATACTGTTGTTTGAGTCGTTTTTTGTTTTTTCCATGGCATTGTCAGTTCTATGTCGACTTATGAGTTTGTGTATCCCTTTAGTATCTTTCGTCTTTCTTGTTAAAGAAAAGCGGCATTTATTTTTTTTTATAAACATCCTGGTCAAAAACAAATTATTCATTTTCAAGATGCCAATAATTTCATAAACTATAAATCAGTCATGTACTGCACGTGTGTGAACAAGGAGGATAGTTTGAAAATTTTGACTGCCACTGGAAAATACGGGCATGTCAATCATTTCAGGTATTGAGAAAATATGCTACTTGCATGCAAATTGCTTCTCTGAAATATAATTGAAATAGCTGATAAGCTGCTGAAAGCATAGTTCTCCTTCAGCATGGGACATTGAATTTAACATCCTGTTCCAACCAGATATATATTGAAAGGAATCATATAAAGAGTATTTGAAACTCATATATAGGTTCTTATTACACATTAACTAAATGAGAGTTGTCTATATATACTATAAAAAAAATTATAACACTTTTAGATATTTGAATGATGTATTTGCTCTCAATAATGACGACTTCAGTATGAACACTAAAGAGATTTATCCTGCTTATCTGACTTTAAAAAAAGCAAATACTGACAATGAACACTGCCCATTCCTGGATCTTGATATCTATATCTTTAACGGGAAGCATAATACTAAAATATGCGATAAAAGAAATGATTTTTCATTTCCTATTGTTAATTATCCATTTTTAGATGGTGACGTTCCCTTGTCACCATCTTATGGTGTTTATATATCTCAATTTGTTCGATTCGCTCGTGTATGTAACAATGTATTTGATTTTAACGAAAGAAATCTGAGACTCTGTACCACTGAAAAATTATTACACCAGGGTTTTCGATATCACAAACTAGTCAAAACATTTACTAAATTTTATCGTCGGTACACGGACATCATTCGTAAATAAAAATCAACATGCAGACATCTTATACGTTCAGGTATTTCACATCCAATCTGTTATGGTGATATTCTATACAAAGCACAAAAATGTCGTCATTCACCTCAAAAGCTAACAAAACCTTTAAACAGACTTATTCAGAAGGGATATAGTAACGATACTGTTGTCAGGTCATTAAGGATGGCATATTTTGGAATTAATATTGTACACTCCTAGGGTCTTTGCATCGGAAATAAACACATTTATTCTAAAACCAGTTGTTGGCATGATACGGGTTATGTTCTTGTCATATATTTTATGATGGTATGATACTAAGCCCCTAACCGGAGGGATTGTGCTTGATTTTCATATAATGAAGATATAATCTTTCAATCAATTTAATTGAGGTCTTGCGCTGGCATGTCAGTAACTACTAGTAGTCCTTTGTTAATTTATGTACCAATGTCATTTTGCTTAGTTTCTTCTGTTACCTATTCTGACATTAAACTCTGGCTTCTTTTAAACTGAGTTTTACTGTGTTTTTGTTTATTCTTCATTGGCTAGAGGTAAAGGGAGGGTTGAGATCTCACAAAACATGTTTAACCCCGCCGCATTTTTTTCAGGTGCCTTTGGCATTTGTTAGTATGTTTTTTTTTAATTTTAGTTCTATAATATGTTTCGGAGAAAGTGAGACGTCCATTTTCACTAAACTAGTACCCATTTTTGTTTAGGGGCTAGTTGTCGGCCGCCTCCGGGTGCGGGATTTTCTCACTGTGTTGAGGATCCATTGGTGGCCTTGGGCTGTTTTCTGCTCTTTGGTCGGGTTGTCTCTTTGACACATTCCCCATTTCCATTCTCAATTTTATCTATATTTGTCTTGGGACTATACAGGTGAATCCAAATGTTAATATCTGTATTGCTTATAGTTTACCCACTTCTAATTTACTTTAGATATAGTTCATCGTTTTATCCTAGATATAGTTCATCGTCTTTCTCTTACATTTTTACTAGATTTTTCAAAAATTTCATGGTTGATATCACATAAATGTGTAAAACTTAAATAGTTTTCTGAATTTGAATCACTAACAGCTTTTCAAATTGGTTTACATGAGGGGATGGCACTATTCAATTATTTCTCAGAAGAAGAAGATGAAAAAAAAGAAGACAGGTGAAGGATACCATTCAAACTCATATGTCGAAAATAAACTGACAAAGCCGAGGCTAAAAAAGAAAAAGACAATCAAACAACAGAACAAAAAACATAGAAAAACACAAGACTGACCAACACAAACCCCACCAAAAACTAGGGGTTATTTCAGGTGCTTCGGAAGGGTAAGAAACTCAGAAACTAATGGGTAAAATCTATCAAAACTTTACAGGAATTACTCTCGATATGGATGCCTTTTTTTGCTTTTCGAGTTACACACTCAAATGAAACGAACCTGTTGGAAATATGATTTCCTTTTCTCTAACGTTAAGCTGAAAAAAGTAAAAAAGGGTATACTAAATATCTCTCCAAAAAAAGTAATACAATGTTGGCAGGAGTAGTGTAAGGAATATCCTTAATACAGAAAATTCTTTGTTTATGTAAGAATTTGACATACCTGATTCTTTCTGTATATGGGACTAACTTTTTTACATTGAGGCGGTATGTCAAAAATCTTTGTGTCTTTAATACCCGGCGTAATACCATAAACATCAACACCTGTTACAGAGCCATAATCTGAATCTATGTAAACTAAATGCACAGGTAGACAGCTACCTCTCTCTATTGTTGCCCGTATGTTCTGGTATGAATCACCTAAAGTCGTATTATATGTGTCGATAATAGTCCCATCTCCAACAAGTCCACTCTGTAACAGCTTTGCTTCCCCTATAAATATCAAAAAGCAATGTGTGGCAAACAAACACTTTGATCGATTCAGTTATATTGTTTTATGGGTAAAATCTTGATAAAGATTATCAAATGTAAATTTTATCGTTTAGCTAACAAATGGATTAACAGAAGCAAACGCATCCTTACATATATGTATCAAGGATGTATATCATAAGACGCTTACTCTGTCGATGCACAATGTTTCGTTCCTTTTGGAGATCATGTGATTCTCTCAGGATTTGTTGTCCTATTAATTTATTTATAATATTTTAACATCGGCACTTAACTACTGTTGCCTATATAATTAATTGTGTACCTCAGCTTGCAGATTATTTTTCCCCTTAATTTGAAGCCGAGTTCTTGAATGATTTATTGTTGTTCGCTTAACGTCCATGAAGAGTTCTTGTGTGGGTGTTCACAAAATATGAAATATAAAAAAAAAGGTTTAAAATCTTTTCCCGTAAAGTTTCAAGGAGATGAGTTTAAGGTGATTACACAAAACTTGTACCCTTTTATGAAAATTTTGTTGAAAAAAATATCATTTTAAGTTCCGAATGTCTGAAAAAAATAATGTTAAAATCATCCATCAATTCCATAATAGCTAATAGCTGATGCACAATTTTCACATGTGTGTAATCTTTCTGTGAATCTTTTCACACTAAACTAGAACTCCTTTTATCAATTTTGCTGAGAAAAAAAAATGCACTTCTATTTTTAAACTTCGGAGAGTTGATGATACTCCTTTAAAAAGTTTTGAAGAACAAATACTATGTTAACAAGTCTAAATAATGGGGAAAATTATTAAACTATTCCATTATAGCAGGTGCAAAACTTCAATATGAACGCAATCTTTCTGTGAAGTTTCAAGGATGTGTTGTGATTAAGACTGTAGCAGGAGTGAGAAACAAATTAGATACCGACTTTTCCTCGACAACCCCATAGACATTACCAGTTTTGTCTCCGTGCAACCAGGCCAAGAACATCATGTATACGATACCGTGTTGAGTAAATTGCTATGGTAAAATTCCAGTGATACATTGTTTGGGCATGATCTGGTCTATTGTCCAATTGCCCAACACGCAGGCTATGATCAGTTTTTATGGCTATTTGCCAAATAATTGTACCAGTCAAATTACAATTCTATGTTGCCGTTTAAACTGGTATATTAGCTTGAAAAAAATAGATATTTAGCCTTGAAATTGAAATGTACGTTTTTCCTATTCATTTACAATAAGAATTGTTTAATTTGGCCTCATGCTATTTATCTTGTCAAAATATAGGACACAACATTGTTATTTCATGACGAAACTGTCTGAGTAAAAGTGCAAGGTTTATTGGTATTAATTGTGTAATGAGAATACACAGGTATCTTAATAATTAAGATAGTTTGACTAATTGCTTTTTATTTTTTATGTAAAAAAAGTCTTCATAACAAATGGACAAAAATGGTTGTGTTTACGTCTAGAAAATTTCTCTTAATACCGACAAACCAGTATAGCTGGAATAGTTTTAATGCCTAGCATCCACTATATAATTTATATATATATGTTCAGTCTAGGTGGTCGAGTGGTCTAGAGCGCTGAACATAGTGCAGGCGGTGTTGTCTCGATATCCCCATAGCATGAGTTCAAATCCCGGCGATGGAAGAACAAAAATTTGCTTCCGCAAATTTGCAGATTTAACATTGTTGTGCAGATATTTAGAGTAATTATGAATATAATATGCGTTTTTAGCCGTGCATCACCTTCACTGGTGATCCAATGGATGGATTTGTCGTAGAGTTGTTACTTGTTTAGACGTAATTATATATATATATATATATATATATATATATATATATATATATATAGAAGTCTATAAAAAGGACCAACCAGCAAATTCAATATGTACCGGATCTTCTAGAATATAAATGTGTTGAAATTGAAAGCGTTTTGTGTTTTAGAAAAATTAATCTTTTTGTGATTTTGATGGGCATTTTGTTTCATCACTGCAGATGATGGTAAAATAAGCAAACACCTGAATTACATTTCATACAATATATAGATTTCTTTTTTTTCTATTGGCCATATCAATCAATCGGCGCTTTTTCATAGGGCATTTGAGCTTTTTTTAATAGACATTTGGGCTTATTTGATTGACATTTTGGCTTTAATTCTTAGGACATTTGCATTTCTTAAAAAAGGACATTTGCGCATTTTCTACAGGACATTTGCGCTTTCGTAGAGAGTCATCTTGACTGAATCTTTTGCAATCATTTTTGTGTCAGATGAAAACGACATTACTTTATCGAATACAAATAAAGGAGTAGGTTCGATAAGGCCTTAGAATGGCCCCCTTTTTTAGCTTAAATTTCAAATTAAGATTTATTGACCAATATCACAAGGAATCATAGCTAATACAGTGACTAGATAGGAAAATAGCCTTTTTGTATAAAATTTACGTTCCTGCGTTTTATTCATGACGTCACAAATAGTACTCATTTTGATTTTCCACGAAAAAATCAATGAAAATGGGTAAATTTCCATTATTCATTGTACAGGAAACATAGTGCGCATACGTCGACAAAAAAGATCTTTACAAATAATGTTTGTAATGACATTTTACATGTCTAACTTGAATATTTAGTTTGTCGACGCCAGCGTTCTATGATTCCTGGTTCTAAATTTGGCTGAAATCCGGCCGATTTTGTCAAATTTCGCAAAAATCTCTTATTTTGATCTATTTGGGATGTAAAAATCAACGCTTTAGAATAAAACTTTGACAGAAATAGTTCTATTTTACTTTCTCACATGTCTCTAAGTCAAATGAAAACACTTTTTGTCTTGTAACATTGAACTTTATAATCGGGGCCAAATATGGCCCTTACCGAACTTACTCCTTTCAAATAACAACCAATCAAACTGAATGTTTATGAATTGCATGTGTCCGAAGTTCTTTCCTAGATTTATCTTCATCGGGAATGCTCAAACCCAAACATTTGAAAGCCAAAATGTACAAATATGTAGATACAGCCAGATCAATTCTTGATCTCCGCCAATTTTAATAAACATGGATAAAGAATGATGATAGTTCTCCTCGAACTTCCAAGGCAATATAATGAAACATAAGAGGAATGTCATTAAAGTAGTATATGTAAAAAGCGCAAATGTCCTGTCAATTTAATACAGGTATGTCAAAGTTTAAAGCGCAAATGACCTTTCGTGCTACAGGTAAAAATCGCAATTAAACGTCATGTGTCCCAATCAGTACATGCAAAATTAAAAAAAAAAGATACCTGAGAGGGGGATCTCAAAGACTTTATCCAACTTAGTGTATTTTTACACCTTCTGCAAGAATGAAAAAGATTGCCCAACAAAATGAAAAAAAGAGTTTCCTTTCTGGAAAATTAAATGCATTTTACATTTATATATCTAGTGGATGCATTAAAACTTTTCCATCTGCACAGGTTTATCGGTACTCAAGAGTAAATTTTTAGTTGCAAACAAAGGCATTATTGTTCATTTGTTATGATGACCCTTAAGATAGAAAAAGAATTTCAGCTCTCATTTGAATCATTTTCAACTGAAAAATTATCCATCACAATTGAACTACCATGTAAAAAAAAATCCAATTCAAAGACCATAAATGACACTCAAAATAATTAAATATTCACAGATTTTGAAGGAATAACTGAAGATATAAAAACTTTTCAAGTTTAAGTATGGGTCAAAATATAGGGTTCATTTTTACTCTAAATATACAATATCACAGTGACATTTGAGTGACATTAATTTTGGACAAGGTAAATGGCATGACGTCAAATTTATCACCTGGGGTAAACTGATCTTTCAATTCTCAAGGCTAAATATCAGTTTCCTACGTTAATATACTATTTAAACGGCGACATAGAATTGTAATTTGACTGGTACAGATATTTTATAAATAGTCATAAAGCTATGAATTAGTAAATGCATGCAACCTTGGTTTGCTTCGGTAATAAAAGTTCTTCTACGTGGTTTATGTTTTAAATCTTGGGTACCAAACTAGGTCACGGTCTGTTTCAATATCAATATACTAATACTCTGGATACCGCACTGTTGTAAATATAGTCATTTTTGTTTGTTTGTTTGTTTTCCTTCTTCTTTCGTGTCAATATTCCTCCAACTACTGTGGCTACCTTAACTAGCTTCTTGTAGAAATAACACATTTTGACTCGTTTTCTGCTTTGCTTTTACACAATATTTTCTAGATAGTCCGTTATTGCTCTGACGTCTGCCGACTTAAATTAGCTTGCTGTGGTCGCTAGGCGTCAGAACAATCTCGGATTAGGTTTATATGTTCGGATATAAAACTTGTTTAACTTCACCACATAATATGCTTGAAACAAGTCAGTCTATTTTTCTTCCGAGGAGTTTATGATAAGGTGTGTCTTTTGTATTGTCAATTTCTGTTGTCCTTTTTGTGTACTATCATAATTTGATGTCTCCTTGAATTAATACTATTCATACCTTGGACACACTGTTTAGTCATATTAAAATCCATCCATGCTTTCTGACAATTCTTTCCGTCGTCTACTTCATATTCGACATTCTAAAAGCATTGAATACATTATCTGAAGCTGACGGCTTCTTATGATACCTCATTTTTTTAAACAGCCGTATTCATAATATATAGGGTTCATAACTGTGTAAAGTTATTTTTCGTTTCATATTTGATAAGGGGACGAAAAATTGATTTCCTGAAAATTGTTAGACAGAATATTCATTTCATTCTGTCTTGGGTAAATGTTTTTTTTTTGCGGTTGAAATGGGCGAGGATAGTTCTTTCCAAATTACTACCCCCCACCCAAACCGAAAATTAAAGGGTCGTACTCTCATCTAAATTGATCAAAGAAGTGACGATACGGTGAAAAGGATTCAAAAGTACTTAGTATGTAGATTTAAAATAAAAACTTCTTATCATAATATTGTTTTCTCCTCTAATGTAAATCTAAGTATTTTTGTACAATATGCTAAAGCCGTACGATAAACTGATAAAAGTGTTCGTTAAAATGAGTATTTGTTTGCACCTGTCCTAAGTCAGGAGCCTGTTGTTCAGTGGTTTTGTTTGTTGATGTGGTTCATAAGTGTTTCTCGTTTCTCGTTTTTATATAGATTAGACCGTTGGTTTTCCGTGTTGAAGGCCGTACTTTGACCTATAACTGTTAACTTTTTACACATTGTGACTTGGATGGAGAGTTGTCTCATTGGCACTCATACCACATCTTCTTATTTCTATTTCAATTAATTTAGATATTGGGGGTCATATTTTATATTTTTTCTTTTATTATGTACTAAAAGATCATTGCCAAAAAGACAAAAAAAATTAAGAATAAAAGAAATCAAAACACACCAAACAAAAGTAACGACACGACAACACACAAAGGAACAAAAACTTTGGACAAACCTTTGAATTGTGTAAAGGGTAACGTTCGACGAAATCAAGAGCGAACCTTATGGCTTTCACTACTGTGCAACAAATGCTTCTGCGAATTTCCTTTTAGTGTTCAACACATGTTTACTCTGTTTTTACAATCAAAACAACGAATATTCTTTAAAAAAAACACACACAATTTCGTTGTTGAAGATCGTATAGCGACTGTTAAACATCGCGATATATGCGAAATCTTTTTAATTCTGGTATCTATGATGAGATTGTCCACACTGTGGCTGCGTTATTAATTTGTAAATTACCGGAGTAATTAACTATTTCATTGATAGTTCAGAGACGACTGTTATTTTTGAAATCAAACCATATCATCTTCTTTTTATATGGATAAAAAGAGAATTTGTAAATACATGTATACGATACCTACATTTTTGTAGTCTTCGATATATAGTACGGAATAACGTTGTAATTCTGGTTTCAATACGAGGCTCTTTTGGACAACAGTTGCATTTATAAAGGCCCTAGAGTTAGTGAAATCGTAGGCAACTACCGCAGAACCATTCATATGTATGTAGTAAACTATCTGTGCATCGTCTATATACAGGCGTCCTTCCCATTGATCAGGAGTACAACACAGAGTTTTCGATTCCAATCCAATCCCAATTTTTAAAATTATAGCCAGTATAAATACCACTGTCGATCGCGGTTTATTCATATTGACTGGTTCACAGAAAGTATTACACGATAACGATAATACTTTAAACATATCTTTATCATATCTAGTCTCGATTACCCAGACGCATATAATATAGCGTCTGGGTTGATTATCCGGACTGGTCAGATATTTATAGGGGGCGTAACAAACAATTAAATATAGAACATCATCCATAAATAGCACTTCCGTTATCCCCAAAATAATAATAAAAAAAAAAAAAAAAACAGTAAGCAATGTACTAGTATATCTATATGTGATTATTAAACTGACATGTTATGTTCTTGTAGCTCACGCAGTGATGCCCAACTTAACAGTGATATGCATTTTTAATAGAGACATGTTGTCAAAAAAATAACAAGGCTTCACACGTATTCTTTTCTCAGTGGTTAATAAATATTTATTTAAGATCTATAGTCAAAATAAAGCTTTACACCGCGTACTTATTCAGATTTTGGATATTTTTTCGTTGATTAAAAATACTTATAAGTTTTAATAATTTTTTTGCCATGATTTTTATCTAAAAGACTCTATCATTAACTACTTGTCTAGCTTAAATTTCTTCAAAAACGATTAAAAACTGTAACTAACGGTGACCTTTTTAACCTGAATTTTGTACATGTACATGTTTAAAAAAAGAAAAACTGAATTGGTAAATGCTCATACATGATCAGTCCAAGTTTTTCAATACAGAACGTGGATGTCTGTTCTAAATGTTATAGCAATCGTGTATAGAAGATACCACGCTCTCTGTGCGCTAAGAGAGGGGTTCGTAGGTTGACCGTTGTCCTAAAGGCTAAATTTCTGCCCATTCGCAGGTTGCAGTCATTATTTCTCCGACCTGTATCCCGGACGGCCTCTGTTATAGGACATTAGTTTTCTCGTTTGAATTGTTTTACATTTGTGATTTCGGGGCCTTTTATAGCTGACTATCATCGCGGTATGGGCTTTGCTCATTGTTGAAGGCCGTACGGTGACATATAGCTGTTAATTTCTGTGTCATTTGGTCTCTTGTGGAGAGTTGTCTCGTTGGCAATCATACCACATCTTCTTTTTTTTATACTTAATAATAGTTATTATATTTATTGTTAATTTCTGTTCGTCCTGAAAATGTATGCAATATATTTACCACTAGACGATAACCAAGCAACCAGTAATCAATCTATTCTTATATTATAGCACACCACGGTATTCTCTTTTCATACTATAAACACCATTATTCTCTTTTGTTCATATTATAGCACACCACTTTTCTCTATTTTTTATATTGTAGCACACCATTAGTCTCTATTCTTTATTTTGTGGTCAATTTTTCTTAGATTTTTCCCATTATTCTCATTTCTGAAACTCCTGTTATAATTTATGGTGTCTCGTTATATATTCTTTCAGATATCTGATACACCTGAGACTACTATATGTGTTATAGCAGTCTCAGGATAAACTTACTTTTCAAAAACACACATCTAGTTACTTCTATGTAAAGAAAACTAATACAAATACTAAGAATGCAATGTAAAAAAATTTCCTCAACAGCTATTACTTGCAGATCAGTGAGATCACACAATGAGCCAACTCAATTTTCATTTACAAAATAAACTGCAAACGACAGAATAGTATCGGCTTATCCTTTTGGGAAGAACAAATTTATGAACCAACCTTCACACAATACCACTGTGCCAGTGTTAGCCCGTGTCCATAGAGGAAATACAGAACTTAACCAGTCATTCATGAAACCCAATACTCTTTGAATGCATGTTTGTATCATACACATGGAGAAGATGGAATAGGATTTATCCCATACTGCATGGTAACTTGTAAAAAAACCAACAACTCAAAAACGTATTCTACTTCTCTAGAGGAAAATCCTTATGATTGTTATTAATTAACTGATTTATTGTTTCAGATCTCCATCACTTTCTACTATAATTTTAATATCCATCATGTAATAGTATGCAAGAAAGGACAGCTTCACAAGAACAATATCTTCTCTTGTGAACCTTTATATAAAAATAAGGAGATATGGTATGATTGTTAAAGAGGCAACAAACCACCCGAGTTAAAATGACGTGGATATAAGCAAATATAGTCACTGCACGGCCATCAATATTGATAAACTCCATATCGTATAGTCAACTATAAAAGGGCGTGACATAAAAAATGTGATACAATTCAAACGAGAACACTTAAACTGTTTAATTTTTTATATGATTTTTAATTTGTAAATACAAATTTTAATGCTCTGACATGTCTGACAACAATGCTGTTCTTGATTTTTGTTTTATAGACTTAATATACGTCTGTGTATTTTTTTTTGGCTTTGTGGTTGCTGTCAAAATAATGTTTACCCAACATTCTTGGTACTGTGATTTATTTATACTGATTTATACTTCAGTATTTAAAAAAAAAATCCTTTGAATCTTATTCTTATAAAATTGAAGCTGTTTAAGCATGATACAATGAATATCCTGAACATTATATTTTTTTAATTCTTGACATTTATCACATAAAATCTGTGTCCAGAAATCATCATTGGTTTGTCTACAAAAGAAAATAAATATTTGAATCATATCAATTTTGGTCACCAACATAGCATATATATGAAAAAAAACTATTGTTCGAGAAAAAAAATCATACAAATATATTGTATAAATTAGTGTCCAGGGACAAGCTGAATCCCGCCTCCGGAAGAGTGATTTTCTCACTGTATTGAAGATCCATTTGAGGCATTGGGCTGCTTCTCTTTGGTCGGGTTGGTGTCTCTTTGACACAGTCCCTGTTTCTATTCTCTATCCAAACCATGCATGCGTTTTTCTCATTGTTGAAGGCCATACAGTTGCCTATAATTGCTCACATCCACTTCATTTGAACTTTGGTGGATAGTTGTCTCATTGGCATTCATACCGCATCTCCTTATTTTGCATAACAATGTGTCCCATTTCTAATCTGTATTGTTTAAGCAAAGTGCATATGTTTTTTTTTAAAATCCATTATAGAACATTTTGTTCATTTGGTGTATATACAAAATGGCATCTTCTAGATACACTTTTGTCTGGTTTTCTTCTACTTATGGTTTTGGATTGCGTTCCCTCTTTTGAATATGTACATCATTGTAAATCTCTCCTCTCTCCCTTTTTTTACACATATCAAGATGCAAACCCCCTTATACAGATATATACAACAATATAATCTTGGATGAAATTCATATTTCGGCGTCATAGCCTCTTTTCATCAAATATTTATAAAGTTAAAGATACTACATATCAACCCCAAATTGTATTTATAGCATGTACGACGATTCGAGTGGTCCAAGTCAATACAAAATTTGTCATTTAATTGTATAATTATTAACTCGTTTGCATAGCACGGACATGCATGAAAAAATATAACTACTCAATGTATCAGGTTGCATTGAAATTTATGTTACAGTTTGTATTGTTATGACATCTTACCAAGCCCAAGGTTGGCTGTGCTGTTATTTTCCTTCGCGGCCAAGCCATGCTGTCTGGTGTTTTCCATGCTTTGTATAACGTCACAAACAAATAAAAATAGCTTTAAACGACGTCATTCGACTAATTCAAACAACAATCGAAACACTCGGACTTTTCAATAATATTATCGTAATGTAATTTCTTCCGAAGTCAATAACCAACTTCTTGGTTATTCGTCTTGGATATTATCCATTTAAACAAGCTAAAAAAGCCGATACTTTTCCGATTGTCATACATTACCATTCCTATATCACTTGTCATCCAGACGCTATACTTTGAAAAATAAAGCGGCTGGATGATCGAGACTATATCATATCATCACACAGATAACTTGAAGCATGTTCACACTAATCATTGAGAGAAAAGCTTTGTTTACTAGTTACTAGTTATAGTGCACATGCACTTGTCTCTGAAACGTGTTGCTCATTCTTTAGTTATCTATGTTGTGTTTTGTGTACCGTTGTTTTTGTTTTTGATGTATCTAGACAGAACAATCGTATTGATAAAGTGTATACCTTGTGAATCAATTGACTTTTGTGTGTCTGCTGCTTGATTTTCCCGCATAAACTGATCTTACAATTTTTTTTAAATGATGTGCAGATTTTACGCATTGTTAGCAAGAGAATTATCTAATATAAAACCCCATTTAAGATTTAACAACAATAAAATCTGAAATATGCGTATTAAATTTGTTACTCTAAATGATTGCAAATACTTCAGCTTTCCCAAAATCTAAAATAAATTATCAGCACAAACACCTGTTTTGTTGGCGTCTTTGTAAGGTTTATTTGTATGTTTGTTTGAATGTTTTAGTCAGTTGTGATGTAAATTTACACAATTTTGGCAGCTGAATCCCAATTATTGTCACATTAACCTATCATAAAATTGAGAATGGAAATGGGGAATGTGTCAAAGAGACAACAACCCGACCACAGAACAGACAACAGCAGAAGGCCACCAACAGGTCTTCAATGCAGCGAGAAATTCCCGCACCCGGAGGCGTCCTTCAGCTGGCCCCTAAACAAATATATATACTAGTTCAGTGATAATGAACGCCATACTAAACTCCAAATTGTACACTAGAAACTAAGATTAAAAATAATACAAGACTAACAAAGGCTAGAGGCTCCTGACTTGGGACAGGCGCAAAAATGCGGCGGGGTTAAACATGTTTATGAGATCTTAACCCTCCCCCTATACCTCTAGCCAATGTAGAAAAGTAAACGCATAACAATACGCACATTAAAATTCAGTTCAAGAGAAGTCCGAGTCTGATGTCAGAAGATGTAACCAAAGAAAATAAACAAAATGACAATAATACATAAATAACAACAGACTACTAGCAGTTAACTGACATGCCAGCTCCAGACTTCAATTAAACTGATTGAAAGATTATGTCTTCATCATATGAATATCAGGCACAATCCTTCTCGTTAGGGGTTTAGTATCATACCATCATAACATATATGAGAAGAACATAACCCGTGTCATGCCAACAACTGGTTTTTAAATAAATGTGTTTAGTGCCGATGCAAAGACCCTATAAGTGAATCAATATTAACGCCAAAATATGCAATCTTTAATGACCTGACAACAGTATCGTAACTATATCCCTTCTTAATAAGTCTATTTAAAGGTTTTGTTAGTTTCAGAGGTGAATACTGACATTTTTGTGCTTTATAAAGAATATTTCCATAAAAAATTGGATGTAAAATACCTGAACGTATAAGAAGTCTGCATGTTGAGCTATATTTACGAATGATGTCCTTATACCGATGATAAAATTTAGTAAATGTTTTGACTAGTTTGTGATATCGAAAACCTTGGTGTAATAATTTTTCAGTAATACATAAATTTCTCTCGTTTAAATCTAAAACATTGTTACATACACGAGCGAATCGTACAAGTTGAGATATATAAACACCGTAAGATGGTGACAAGGGAACGTCACCATCTAAAAATGGATAATTAACGATAGGAAATGAAAAATCATCTCTTTTATCATATATTTTAGTATTAAGCTTTGCGTTAATGATATAGATATCAAGATCGAGGAAAGGGCAGTGGTCATTGTTAGTATTAGCTTTATTTAAAGTAAGTTCAACAGGATAAATTTCTTTAGTATACATACTGAAGTCGTCATTATTGAGAGCCGAAATATCATCCAAATATCTAAAAGTATTATTAAATTTGTGTATCAGATGTTGTTTCGATGGGTCTTTACTGATTTTTGTCATAAATTGTAACTCATAGCAATACAAAAAAAGGTCCGCAATAAGTGGTGCACAGTTAGTCCCCATTGGAATTCCGATAACCTGACGATATACGGAATCTCCAAAGCGAACAAAAATGTTATCTAGTAAAAATTCAAGGGCATATATAGTATCAAAGCATGTCCAATTGACATAGTTTTTTTGTTTATTGCTACTAAAAAATGACCTAAAAGAGTTTGAACATATATATTCACATTCTGACTTTTTAAATGCCCATTTAATTAGGTGTGTGAATTTTTTCTTAATGAGAATGTGAGGCAATGTGGTATATAGGGTAGAAAAATCAAAACTTTGAACAGATTCAAAATCACCAATATATGCATGCAATTTATCAAGTACTTCCAACGAGTTCTTGACACTCCAAAAGTAATTAATTCCACTATTTATCTGTTTTGCTTGCTCACCCATTTTTTTTCTTCAATGTAACGGAACTATAAACAACTGTCATACAAGTGGGAGGTTAATGTTAAGCTAGCTATACAACCAGGTTTAATCCACCATTTTCTTCGGAAAATACCTTGTCAGTTGATTTTCACTTGTTCCGTTGATTGATAACGTTTGATTTTGTCAGTTTTTACAGGCTTCCACTTTATAAATTCACCTTGGAGTTCGATATTTTTGTTATACTTTTTTTGAAACATTCTTAAGCCTAGGAATTGTAAAATGATAAAAAAAAATCAACCACGTAAGCGCTCCCATAACAACCTTTTCGCCTTTACGTTAAATAAAATGCATTTTAAAGGTTTATTTCATATATATCTAGAATAAGTCAAAACAAAATCATGACTAATCTATAATTTTGAAGACTTTATATGACAAAATGATATTGAAAATCTACATTGTATGCCCTTTCGCACCTTAATCTTCATATTTTAGACCCCCTCTAGTGATGTCAAATGGATATGATTGTTCGTTGATGAAGATCTATGTGCACTGAAATATTAAGGTTATTATTTTATTTCGACGAAATGTATAATAACTGTATAGAGCCAATGATTATTGTAACTTATTCAATGGTTCTGGTCCTAGCTTGAATACAATTGATGTATGTATGCAATGTATACTGCTATATTAAGAGGTTAAGTTTCAATATCTATCTGTGTTATTCTGTGTCAGTATCATGTGCCCTATGTTATGACCTTTATTCAGACAATAAATATTTTTGTATTTCTTTCATGCTACCACTAGATACATATTGGTTTTAAGCAATACTCTGGTGCTATTTCCTGGACCAACCGAGTTACATTTAATGCATTAATCTCTTCTTTGTTAGTATAGTAAAATGGGGCAACCAGAACTCAGCTGACCTACTTTCCACTAATTCAATGAATCTAATTAAAGGGGCATAAGCTACGAGATATAAAAAAAAAAAATATGATTTATGTTTTGTTCAATCATTAATGAAAGTGAAAGAGTGAAATAATAATTCGCTTTTAGCAGCCAGTTTAGTTCAATTTTGTCAAAATAAGGTAAGAAACATCGCTGATGAATTATTCACTTGCAAGTTAATAATTCGACCTCATGGAATCTGTATTCATGTGACCTTTAATTTAACCCATTAGCTAGAGATTGGTTACGCATGTATAAGTCGTGTTCAGCCATTACAAGGAAAAGAATGTCAACATTGAAAGTGAAACACAGGTGAACCATTTCGTTGACTGATTCGATCCACAAAAATTATTCTTATACAGGTAAAACCGTTGATTAACTTATTTTTTTTAATCTATAACATGAAATCAAACAGACCTAGAAAAGTCCAATTGCACGAGGTCGCTATCTATTTATATGTATGTTTATGTTTATATAGGGTTATGTGACCGTCGGCAGTATTTGGAGGTCACCTCGATGGTTAATTAGATGGCGCTTAGACTAAAATACACAGGAAATGCTGATATATATTATCGAGTCCATGCATTGTTTATTGTTTATTTCAGACTTATCATAATTTGGATATACGTTTTAGTATGATATAAATGAAATATGAGAATTTGAGTCAAATCGGTGAACATGGATTTGACAGTTAATGCCCCTTAAAAGCATTGAGCACCAAACAAAAAGATTTTTGCCAAATACAGCCGAGGTAATGTATTCCTTTATATTGTCCTACACATTGTAACTGCCCGTATATATAGTAAACTGATAAAAATCATGAATGAGGTCGACTGTTGTAAGGATTTCCAAACTTTCTTTTATGCATTATATCTTTGTCAAAAAATGTCTATAAACTTCAATAAACTTCAGGAGTAAATGATAAATATTCTTTGATATAAGATCATTGAAAATAAACCCAGGAAATCAGTGAATTTTGAAAGCTAATTATTAAAGGTTATTCATAATCTGCTTTTAAGCATAAGTGGAATTACATTTCTCATTTGACCGCATGAACATTCGCTTCAACTAATTAAAAGGTACAGACTCATGACAACATTCACTTCTATTAGCAATAGGGTTTACTTTGAGCATGTAATCCATAGTTCAGAGGAAATTGACTTTGACAGATCACACAAGAACCCCACCCTAAATAATTAACTCCGTAAAAAGTAAAATAACAAAAATACCGAACTCCAAGGAAAATTCGAAACGGAAATTCCTTTATCAAATGGCAAAATCAAAAGCTCAAACCCATCAAACGAATGGAAAACAACTGTCATATTCCTGACTTGGTACAGGAATTTCCTTATGTAGAAAATGGTGGATTAAACCTGGTTTTATAGCTAGCTAAACCTCTCACTTGTATGACAGTCGCATATAATTCCATTATATTGACAACAATGTGCGAGCAAAACAAACAGACATAAAAGGTAAAAATGTCAAAAATTGGGGTACAGCAGTCAATATTGTGTTATAATCTTAATCACTTAAAAGACTAATTAAAATGATCATAAACATCGAAGGCCAAATCCAATACAAACAAATCATTCAACAGCAAAAATTCCAAAAAGTTGAACCAAAAACGACTAAAGCTACCTTTGCCTTGGACTCGAAAAACCTTAGTGTTTCAAATAACTGTTACATTTTTATCAACTGTAGATTTTCAGAAATGAACATAACAATGATGGTTCATGTCCACACAACAAAGCTGACTACTGAGCTAATGATTTCTTCGGGAACGTCAACCAGCAGTGGTATCGACCCAGTGGTTTGCAACTTATCAAAGATACCAGGCTTGTAATTTGGTACGCCAGACGCGCGTTTTGTATTAAAAACCAAATACAAATTTAAAGATCATTGAAAACCAAATAAATCCGAATACAGCTTAGGCTATTTAAGGATTATACGGATTTGAGATTTAAAAAAGTTATTGGCAATTTTTAAGATACAAAAAATTGAAAACAACACGTTTAATAGTTTCATGCGTCCGAAGCGCTTTTCTGGATTTACCTTCATCAGGAACTCTCAAAGCCAAACATTTGAAATCGGAGGGGTGTATAAGTACCGAAACAGTTGAAGAGCTATATGACAAAAATACCTAAAACAAATAGCCAAATCCATCTAAGGTCAACTTTGCCTGAGGGAGTTGAAACCTTAGTTTCTTTATAATTTCAAAATTTATAAACGGGCAATTTTAGAAAAGTTTGTTATAAATCATGTCAGTACCGACTACTGAGCTGATGATACCATCGGGGACTGATAGTCCACCAGCAGAGGTATCGACCCAGTGATGTAAAAAATTGAAAACAACACGTTTAATAATTTCATGCGTCCGAAGCGCTTTTCTGGATTTACCTTCATCAGGAACGCTCAAAGCCAAACATTTGAAATCCGAGGGATGTATAAGTACCGAAACAGTTGAAGAGCTATATGACAAAAATACCTAAAACAAATAGTCAAATCCATCTATGGTCAACTTTGCCTGAGGGAGTTGAAACCTTAGTTTCATGCGCTAAATAGTAGAGCAAAAGCAACATGACCCGTTCAAAACAAAATTAAAGGTGAATTTAAGGAGTTTCAAAAGGGTTTACAGTTTCTGCTCTACTAGTGGCACCCTTCGTGTTGCTCATGGTTAATCGAAATTTGGTTATAGGTCGCATTCGTTAATCTCACTATCCAGCAAAAGAGGGCGGAATAATGTCTAATTAGTGGAACCCATCCGTGGTCATCTGTGAAATAGATATTCCGTAACGGTCAACAAATCATGATGGCGTCTCTAAACTTTAGAAGGTATGACTTCAACGCTACAATTAAGAGCCTATCAAGAAAATTGTAATACGAACCTGAAGCTCAGAAAATCGGATCAAATGGGGAATTATAATCAACAGGTGTTGCTGGAATGTTTCTACATAGAAGTAAAAAGTTCATAATTGAAAAAATTATATCATTTTTTGTCGTATAAAGTTCAGATACAATCCGACTCTTATTGTCAATTCTTATATTTAAGTCAAGATATTAAGCAGGAGTTACTGTATCTGTGGTATCATATATTTCAAAATCAATTGGATAGATGCGTCAACATAATCCCTAAATTACTTTAGAATTATTTAGTGGAAGGACATATATAAGAAAAATTCATACGACAGAACTGTTTGAGATAATTTTAATTTTTTAAAACACATTACTTTATTTCTTTTGAGCAGACGACACAGGTAAGTTCTCTGCCATTGACATATGGTGGACATTTCAAACTACCACAAACAGCTTCCACTGGGTAAACAACAGCTTCATTACGATTACTGTCACCACCAGGAACGGACTCCAACTTCTCGTCTACGCATATATACTCCGACGGCGAGCGGCTTTTAGTGTGGTATTCTGACATCAAATAACCCGAAAATTCTTTATGCCAACCTTTATAGCAATTTGTTTTCCCTGGAATCATTAGAACAGTAGATCTAGCTGTTAAACATACTGCGCATGGCATGTCTTTATCATTGAAACTCTTTGAATAGGGTTTACTGGTTTGAATTTCATATTCAACGCCATATAAACGACCTGTTCCGTCATTCTGTCCGCTAGTATAGTCTTTCCATTCCGGATTCTTTGGTAGACAAAGAAAATTAGAACCTGATCCTCCTTCGTTAAAATGATTACCTGCAGCATATCCTAAAAATACACAAAAATATAGCTCACATTTATAGGACTGAATGTAATCAAAATAGTTTCTGAGTTACATAGATAAAATAAGATTATTTACATTTTGACTTGACAATTCCATAAGAATAATAACTCTATTAATGTAATACTTATTATTGCATAAGATAAAAGGCAGACACACACAAGTCAGTGTGGTTTATGAGCCATAGAGACAGCAAAACAACGACACAAGCAACCAAAAGACAACTAGAGGTTAAGATACGGTCTCAAACAATAGATGAGTATAATTTGGCAATATGTAAATCGTTTCGCGTGTTGAAGAGTTTTGAATAAATTGAATTGCTATCAGAGATCTGTTCCAACACCATATTCCCCAAATGATGAAAAACCTGAAGATTTACTAAATACAACCATGAAAGGTACATAAAACGAACGTGCAAAATTATTTTTAAAAACTCTTTTAAAAAATGCCGGTATCATAGATAACAAAAACACAAGTATAAGTAAAATATACAGTATCATATAATATATTCTCTGCTTCTGAAAGCAAACTCAAAGTTCTTTATGTGCTAATATAAATACTTGCCGTCCTACATTCTGTGTGGATGCACATAGGAGAAAATTGAAAAAGCCAATAGCATAAAGAGTACAGAAGGACAAGAACTTATGTTATACCTACCTTTTGTAGCGTAAATCCGAGAAAAGCAACGTAGGAAAAAAATATATGTCTTGTTTCACTTTATAAATGAGCGAATTTATTTTATTCCACAAAAGAATAACACAATGACAATGTTATTATAACCATGCATTGATAATAACTCTTTATCAAAATTATTTTGAACAATTGATGATTCATCGGCGTTTTTGATTTTTTTTTACTGTAATGATACAATTATGTTTATTTAAACCTGAAACGTCTAGTGCTACAAACACGATTATATAACCAACTCTACAGGAAGGTGCCAAAGAAACGCTTTCGCCAAACTATACTTCATGCAATATTAATCTATACAGTTAAAGAAAAAAAGTTATACATTTAAAACTGAATATCACTATTGAGTATGCAATTACCGTCATAAACAAGTGTTGAATCCTGTGGACAACTGGACTTTCCCCATCTGATATACGTTGCAGCGTTATGTCCTGAAAACAATAGATTATACGACAAATATTTTTGTAAATTGAGAGAAACGACAAGACATGTTAAGCATACATCAAAAATACACATACATATACATTAATTTTTACTTTCTCTTTCTCCCCGTATCTTTCTCAATGGCGCATACAAATTCAGTACACAATTATTGTCTCCAAATAACAAAAAAACATCACTTAGATTTGTATTTCATGTTTTAAAAGATCTTACCCCTATATGCGGGTGTATGAACATGCATATCCTTTAGTTCCACCAAGTTCCTTTCTATCTGTTTGATTAGATAGTCCTTCAAAAAACAAGGCTTTTCGGACTTGTCATGACAATGTGCATTGAACACGAGGAAACCCAGTACGTTTAGGAATATATTTGTCATATTTCTGTGTATCATTGAAAGGCAAAGACTAGCACTGTTTCTGGTCCCTTATAATTCCAAAAATAACACAAATGACAAATAATCGATGAATCAAATTTCTGAAGTTGAAATATGAAACAATAATTACCTTCTGGCATGATATTTCCTGCTAAATTACATAAAAGAAGAGATGTGTGATTTCTGCTGAAGGTAAATTTAGAAAAGCTCTTCGGACACATCAAATTTAAAAATTGTTCATTTTATTTTACTCACCTGCACTGAGTCGATACCGCGGCTGTAGGACTGTAAGTCCGCGTGGGTATCATAAGCCCAGTAGTTAGTGCTTCTCCACTGACACTATTTATAACACAAATGACTTTAATTTTCCGTTGATAAATTCAGAAATTTTTATCTCTGTCAGGCAAAGGTGACCTTAGATGATTTTTGCTATTCTTTTAAGGACTCGTTTTGTTATATAGCTCCTGTTTTGTTTACACATTATACAAAGAAGGAGGAGGCAAGATTTTTTGCGATATGTTCAATTTATTTTACTCACCTGCACTGAGTCGATACCGCGGCTGTAGGACTGTAAGTCCGCGTGGGTATCATAAGCCCAGTAGTTAGTGCTTCTCCACTGACACTATTTATAACACAAATGACTTTAATTTTCCGTTGATAAATTCAGAAATTTTTATCTCTGTCAGGCAAAGGTGACCTTAGATGATTTTTGCTATTCTTTTAAGGACTCGTTTTGTTAAATAGCTCCTGTTTTGTTTACACCTTATACAAAGAAGGAGGAGGGAAGATTTTTTGCGATATGTTCATTTTTTAAAATTCTTGTGAAGATTGTTTTAGATGACCTTTGTTATTTCTTTTTATTCAGAATATTTGTCACATTTTACAAATTTCAACTGAAGATTATATTAGACCATATCCAAAAAAAAAAGAAGAAAAAACAGATAAAGTTATTTCTTTTTATTTATCATGAATCCTTTTACAAAGTTCTATATAAAAAATCATGTGAAGATTATCTTATTTTATCATAAATTAAAAGAAGAAAAAGGGGAATAATTATATTTAGGGAATGATTTTTAAAAATGACTTGAATTCTTTAAACTGCTATCAAATGTGAAAAAAAAACAAAACAAATAGAGACTCACATTCATGTGTTGCATATCCACTTGAACAAGGTTTAGGTGCGAAAAAAACACTCCTGTGAAAGTTAATTTTTAAGTTTTAATGAATCTTTTGTTTTTAAGAACAAAGAAAATCTACATCTCTACTATAACAACAAAACCCAAATTGTGTGATTTTTTTTTAATGTATACCATTCATACCTATTTTCATGATTTCTTTATTTAGATTTTCTCCCAATGTCAGACTTTAAGCTTTGCGACGTAATGATGGTTTAATTATTTTTTTAGTCATTTGTTTTAGTGAGATTTCAGTATTGGTACCAACATTTTTGTTAATGCTGATTTTGTGAGAATAGATGTTGACACACGATATCCAAAGATAATTTGTATTGGGTACTGTTGTGATCTCTGTAAGTGCAATGAAGAAAAATCAGTGTATTATGCTTAGACATCACCAGGTGCCCTTTCAAATGCAAAATACCAGGATCGTTTTGAAACTAGGAAACATAGTCAGTTTTACATGGTGTGCTAACCAAAAAAAACCTTGTCTTTACTGTACTCTGCTGAAGTGTAGCGGTTTAGCTAACGTTCTTTTTCTTTTATTTTTATTGTGGGCATTTTTGTTAGCGTTGCTTTTTTCTAAAGCATATTCACTACATTTACAGTTAACTTAAACTCATCGGCAAAAAGAAACTTGCAGAATAAAAAAGTATAAAAAGATAAATGGTTTTTTCAGAGGCAAGATGTTACCACCTATCATGATACTAGTAGTATGTTTTAAATGTTTAATGCTGGATTCTATATCATGCCAAATAAAGCTATGGTAATCTATTCCTGGAAATATGTTAATATCGCAGAAGTTTATTCATTTGTATATGACTAAATGCAGGTTAACTACAATGTCGTGAATAATTTTATGAAGTACATTGAAGTATTGTAAATCTGTGTTTTTTCCAAATCTGAACGTGTTGATGGCATACACAGAGTGAGCATACTGGTGAGAACAATTGAAAAGTTATTTATTCTATTGAAAATAGTGAAAAAATCACGGATTTTTTTAAGTTGCAATTGGTAACAATATAGAATAAGGAGATATGGTATGGTTGCAAAAATAACAACTACCCAACAGAGACCAAATAATGTAGATAAAAGCAATTATGTATACCCATACGACCTTCAACAATGAGCAAAACCCATACCGTATAGTCAGCTATAAAAGGCCCCGATATGACAAAATGTGCAATAATTCAAATAAAAATCAAAGGCCTGATTTATAACAAAACAATAAACGAAAAACAGATATAACATACAGCAATCAACGATAACCACTGAATTACAGGCTCCTGACGTGGGACATGCGCATACAGAATATTACAATATCTTGGAGTTATTTTGAAGCTACAACTTTTAGAAAGAAATCGGAATTAACCTTGACAAGTTCTAGTAAAAGTTATCGACGTTGAGTCAAACTATCATGTCCACGAAGTTATTTAGGCAGGTCAAATACATTTGACATCACAAACCTGTAATATGGATTATCAACGTCTAATCATACATTATATGGCGCAAATACAAAATTTCAATCCTGGTATCTATGATGAGTTTATTATGATGTCGAGAATGAGTTTGGTTCAAGATTATGTCAAATTTAACAGCGGGTAAATATCTGAGACCTTCATTAATTTTATATATTGTTAGTTATAAAGTATTACCTCTTATTTCAGTGTCAGTAACTGTGGAGGTTAACAAGCTGATTGTTACAAAAAAAAAAAAAAAATATGGAAACGGGATAATTGACACCAGTTCAAAGTTAACTAGTTTTTTGGATTTTATATTTCTTCTGGAAAAATCTTGCTTTCTTAAAGCATAAATCGTAGTGCTTTATACCATGGCGGACCATGGTTTTTACGGAAATATTGGGGCGTAGAGTGTGTTGGTGGTTTGACATTTTTACTAGATACACAATGTGCGGTAAGGTGCATTTTCATCACAGATTTAATAAAAATAACCTATATTTACAGTTCTTAAATCAACACTCATTGTTGGTTGTAGATTACTAATGTACTTAACTTCCAGGTCGATCATTAATGTCAATGTCAATAGATATATACAAATCTCTTCAAACGATCATCACTAATTGGCTATTGACTTTCATAGTCATGACTTGGTACAGGCACTTTCAAATGAAAGTACCACAAGGGTTGACTGCAGTGTAGAAGGATAATTAACTGGACTTCCGACTTCCGGCCGTAAAACACATGCTATAAAGAGACATTCGTTTAGCTGTGTTGGATCTATGAATACGCAGCAATGTTCAGACATTATTGGGATTTTAAATCCGATGCCTCATGTTATTTTTCTCTTCACGTTACAAAACTCTTCCAACAACTCTTTGAGGATCTGAAGGTAGCATGTAACAATGTAAATTCTAGTCACTATCCAAAATACCAACTTTTAACAAAAGTAGTAAAATTTCCCAATGGATTTATTGTTAACTTGTTCAATTCCTGAGTATGCATGGAATATTAACAACATGACGTAAAGCAAACAACAAAACTGTGTATGTGTGTCCAAAATGTTGAGTCCTAAAATTATCAGTTTCTTCTCTTACTACTCTCAGGTTTCTCTGTCAAGATAAAATGTACAACAAAACAGAACTCCAAGGCAAATTAAAAAAAGGGGAAGTCTATAAAAACTGACAAAATCAAACGTTATTAACCAACGGAACAAGTGGAACCAACTGCAATTTTTTTGACTTGGTACAGACATTTTCCGACAAAAATTGTGGTTAAAACTGGTTTTATAGCTAGCTAAACCTTCCACTCTTGGATAAATTTGAATTGTAATTTTCTCTTTTTTCGAGACTTAAAATGACGGATACTTGTGTTTAAAAAAAGATACACAGGGTGTCCATAGCATTTGAAGTCACCTCCTTGGCTTAGCAAATAAAGAACTCAATCTATGTGATGAAATCAACATTCATGCAAAAGGAAGTGCATTTATATGGTTTGATTTATTTTTATAATTCAAATGAATTAGTTGTCCAAATCATTTTATACCAGTTTTTTGTCCAGCTGAATCTACCTGATCTTTTCATCCCTTTCTCCCTCCAAACAAAACCTGCTGAAGTGTTTCTCGTATGTTCCATTTGAAAACATGCATACCTTCCTGAAATGAGATATCACATGTATATTTTACACAACCTTAAATCTTTGTTACTAAGAATAAAACCCAAAATACCTGTACTTTATCATTCAATTACTAACAAGAAATATTTTTTTTCAAATTAAAGTCAACCACATCGTTATATAGACGCATCGATTGTGATAGGAATTTCTTCTCTCGAGACCGTTAAATCTTTAAGATTTAACTGTCGATAACAGAGAAATATCGTATATGGTGGTGAAATCTGATTCTCTAATAAAATTTTTGGACGAAATATATTCAAACTCTATCAAGATGCTTGATTTCTAGGTAAAAACAAATTTATAAAATTTGGAGGATATTTTTTTCTACAAACTGTTATCGGCATTCCAATGGGAACCAGCTGTGCTCCTCCTTTATTCATATGAAACAGACTTCATACAGGATCTTCTTCTGAAGACTGAAAAGAAGCTAGAACTATCATATGACTTCACTTTCCACTATGTAGATGATGTCTCCTCACTAAGTAATTCAAAGTTTGGTGACTATATGAACGCATGTATCCCATTTAAATTAGAATAAAAAAAAAACAGCAGCCACATTTAAGTCTGTCTCATACCTTGACTTACATTTAGAAATTGATAATAAGGGTCGTTAGAGAACAAAACTTTACGACAACAGAGATGATTTTTAGCTTCTCAATTGTGAAATTTCCATTTCTATGTAGCAACATTCCAGCAGCGCATGCATATGGAATA